GTCCTGAAAAGGCCTTCCCTGCCTCTGGGGTATCGTTTCCGATACGGTTACCCACATGGCACCCGTTCACAAAGCGATCTTGTCAATGATTCTGATACAAAATTTATTTCTGTCCGTAACTCAAAATCGTTTGCCGTCTCATCATTTTGTAATTTCCAGTTCTACTTGTTTTTCATTCTGAGCCGTTGGAATGACATTTTCAAAGCTATTGTTTCATAAAAACATTTTCATATTGCCTGAAATGCTTTTTATTGAAGTCAAATACATTTTTATTGTCTTTTTTTTTTCTTTTTACCTTTCCTTTTCATTTTTTACTTTTGTTTTTTTGAGACAAATATATTTAAAAGATTCGCGCAAATGTCCTAATGGCAGAAGAGGTAGCCTGGGGATCCTCTGGAGTCGCCAACACAAAACCCCTTCCCATCCTGTTTTATGTTTTAACATTCACCTGATGTCATCCTTGGTGCTGTAAGAGGGTTGTGTTCCTTTTGTTCCTAAGGATTTCTCGCCCTCCCTCCAAAAGTCCCATTTTCCCAGAGCAGCACATACATTTTTTTATTTTTTTTTCACGACGGGGCAGGACTTTGTGTCTCTGCCATTTCAGTGCAGACGCCATAGTTCAGCACTCTCTTTCCATCAAGGGTTTCTGCATGCGGCCTGGGGTTTCACGGTTTTAAGAAAAGCCCTCAGGACAGAAGTCCGCCCTCAAACAAAAGGGACGTCCTCTTTCCCCCTTTTTCCCCCCAAACTTTCCCCCTAAAACCAACCCCGGCGTCTGAGAAAACACCCAGTGTGCGCGCCCAGCTCTCCCAGCTTCTTTGCTGCTTTGTTTCAAAAAGCAAAAAAGGACCCCACACCACGGCTGATGGTGGGATTGAGGCCGGTCTTGCCCACCGGGCAGATCTTGCTGGGGGCCGGCGAGGGGGGTGGAGACGCTGCAGACCCGGTGGTTGGAATGTGACTGCTTTCTTCTCGTCGTCCACCCTCCCCCTGTCTGTCCCCACGCTTCCGGTGGGGGAGGGGGCAGGGGTGGGTCAGGGCTGGGGGATGGGTTTCCACTGAGGGGCTTCAGCCTGAGCTTCTTTGTTCTTTGCAGCCAGAGGAATCCGGGGCCGTGAGTCCCCATGCAGGGCCGGTTGGAGTGAGGCCGCAGCCGAAGGTGGGAAGGGCCCACGGAGGTGGAGAGAGAGCTGGGCCGGTGCAGGAGAGAGAGGAGAGAGAGAGCCAACCTTCCTCAAACACTGGGCACGGACCCCAGCCCTCTGTTCTCTGAAACATTCTTATTTTTTAAAAAAAAAATATATATATATTTTTATTTATTTCAGAGAGGAAGGGAGAGGGAGAGAGAAAGAGAGACACCCATGATGAGAGAGAATCACGGACCGGCTGCCTCCTGCACGCCCTAGACTGGGGATGGAGCCCGCCACCAGGCATGTGCCCTCACCGGGAATCGAACGGTGACCTCCTGGTTCATAGGTCGAGGCTCAACCACGGAGCCACGCCGGCCGCGGCTGAAATACCCTTCTTGGTAAAGAACTCCTTATCGGTTTCTATGAGTTTCTTGATGTCATCCGTTAGTCGTTCATTAACTGATGATACTGCCAATGGAGCCTCTTGCCTCCTTTCTGTTAACCTCATACAGGATGGCATTTGGGACAGACAGAGTCCCTCCGGCAACCTTTTCTGTGCCATTTGCTCGTCTGCCTTTTCTCTGTTACCATCTCTCAATCCCAGGGACTGAAAACTTCCTTTAAAAAGAAGAATTACAGAGATTCCCCCGTAGGATGTTGTCTCCCAGCCATCCCTGTCCGCCAGTCTTCCTCTCCTTTGTGTGGTGACCTTGTGAGGACATTTTTAAAATCCTTTCTGATCATTACCCCCTCCTTAATTAACTTTTTTTTTTTAATTTTAGAACAGTTTTATATTTACATAATCATTTCAGAGAGTTCCCCTGTAACATAGACACTGAGTGGCCAGATTATGATGACCAGCCTGAATATTAGGACCACCCCATCAGTACAATGAAGTGAATTAGTTATGCAAATAATAATAATAATAATAAAACCTGGCCCTAGCCCGTTTGGCTCAGTGGATAGAGCGTCGACCTGCGGATGCAAGGGTCCCAGGTTCGATTCCGGTCAAGGGCATGTACCCTGGTTGTGGGCACATCCCCAATGGGGAGTGTGCAGGAGGCAGCTGATCGATGTTTCTCTTTCATCGATGTTTCTAACTCTCTATTCCTCTCCCTTCCTCTTTGTAAAAAATCAATAAAATATATTTAAAACAAACAAACAAACAGAAAAACCTGGAGAGTATTTGCTTAGGAAGTTTTCAATATTCAGTGTTTTTGGAAGTGTCAGTGAAGTACTGATGGGGTGGTCATAATCTGGCCACTCAGTGTGTGTGTGTATATATATATATCAAACATCTTACATTACTGTGGTACATTTGTTATAGTTACTAACCCAATATGTTGGAATCTTATCATTAAGTGAACTCTATACTTCATTCAGATGTCCTTGGTTTCTTCATCATGTCCTCTCCTTGTCCCAGGATAGCACCGTACCTTCAGCACACCCGTCTCAGATCTCTTCTTTTTTTTTTTAATATATTTTCATTGATTTCAGAGAGGAAGGTAGAGGGAGAGAGAGAGAGATAGAAACATCAATGGTGAGAGAGAATCATTGATTGGCTGCCTCCTGCACACACCCCACTGGGGATGGAGCCCACAACCTGGGCATGTGCCCTTGACCGGAATCCAACCCAGGACCCTTCCGTCCACAGGTTGACGCTCGATCCACTGAGCCGGACCGGCCAGGGCTCAGATCTCTTCCTGCTTGTGAGAAGACTTTGTGTTTTGTTGTCTTTCTTCGATGACTTTGTGTTTTGTCACTTTTTTCAATGACAGTTTACACTCAGTATGATTAGATTTAGTTGCCTTGACAAGCCTAAATGGTTACCAGGCAGGGATTTTTGTAGAATGTCCCTCCAGTGGAATTTCGAAAATAGTCATTTAGAATGCCCACCCCGTAAAACCTGCTTTCTTCAGAATCACACCATTCAGGGTGTTTGGGGTCCTCACGGTGTTTGACAGCCACCCCTACATTCTTACCATCCTGTGAAGAAAACCCAGCACCGTGAGCTGACTGTCACTCCCCACCCTTCCCTCCCCTATGACCCACCCCTCACTAATCCGCTTTCTGTCCCCCTGGGTTTGCCCATTGTGAACGTCTCATATAAGTGGATTCCATCAAAATGTGATCTTTCTTTTTTATTATTATTATTAATTAAATCTTTATTGTTCAGATTATTACATTGGTTCCCCTTTTTCCCCCCCATAACTCCCCTCCACCCAGTTCCCACCCCACCCTCCTCCCTCACTCCCCACCCACTGTCCTCATCCATAGGCGCACGATTTTTGTCCAGTCTCTTCCCGCATCCCCCACACCCCTTTCCCCCCCAAGAATAGCCAGTCCACTCCCTTCCTATGCCCCTGATTCTATTATAATCACCAGTTCATTCTGTTCATCAGATTACTCACTTGATTTTCAGATTCACTTGTTGATAGATGCGTATTTGTTGTTCATAATTTGTATCTTTACCTTTTTCTTCTTCCTCCTCTTCTTAAAGGATACCTTTCAGCATTTCATCTAATACTGGTTTGGTGGTGATGAACTCCTTTAGCTTTTATTCAAAGTGATGAATGCCAAGAACCTACAACCAAGATGACTTTATCCAGCAAAGCTCTCATTCAGAATTGAAGGTCAGAGAAAGAGCTTCACCGATAGGAAAAAGCTAAAGGAGTTCATCACCATCAAAATGTGATCTTTCGTGTTTCCGTCACTTAGCGTAACATTCTGGGGGCTCGCTCATTCCGGAGCGTGAATGCCGTTCCTGTTCATGGCCCAACGATACGTCATCTTACAGACAGGCCATACCCCATAATTTGTTTCTCCACTCATCAGTGGATATCTCTCTGGGTTGTTTCGACTTGTTGACTATTGTGAGAAGGTGGCTGTAAGAAATCACAGATATCTTTTTACTTTGGGGGGTACATACGTAAAAGTAGAACAGTGCTTCCCACGGCAACTTTACGGTCCAATGACCAGGCTCTCCCAAACTCCCTTCCCAAGTGGCCGCACCATCTTACGTTCCCATCGGCAACGGGGGAGGGTTCCAGGTCGTCCACATCCTCCAAGGCACGTGTCGCCGTCATTTCCGCGATGTGTCCCCTCGTGAGTGTCAAATGGCGTCTCGTCCATCTGTCCATGGCACGTCCCTGTCCCTTGTGACTGATGATGGGGAGCATCTTTTCCATGTGCTGATCGGCCACCCGTTTCTCCAGTTTTTGGGGTGCGTGTGTGTGTGTGTGTGAATAGTCTATTCAAAGCCTTTGCCCATTTTCAAATTTTATTTTGGATTTTTAAAGTTTTTGCCTTGTAAGATGCCTTTGCCAGTTGCGCGACTTGCACGTACCTCCTGCCATGGGGTGGGTTGTATTTGCGCTTTCTCAGTTGCGTGCTCTGAAGCCAAATCTTTCGTGTCACGGTGAAGTCCGATCTGTCTTTTCGGTGGGTTGGTCTTGTGTTGCTTGTGCTTTGGGTGTTGGCATCTAAGAAACTAGACCTGACCTCAAGGTCCCACGGACTCACACCTGTGTTTCCTTCTAAGACGTGCACATCTGAATCTCTTACACGTAGGTCTCTCGTCCATATCGAGTTCATTTTTGCATGTGATGGGAGGTAGGAGTTCTGATCGGTTTTGGCAGCTTCTCCAACTTCCGTTGCATCGAGAATACACTTTTCTTCCAGATTCGATGTCCTTTACACCCACATCCTTGAGGGTTGGACTAGGGGATAAATCTAGACTGGGGCGGGGGGTGGGGGGGGGAGGATGGGATGGTTAGGAGACACCTTAGGGTCTAAGAGCCTCGTCCCGATGGCAGCGTTTCCTAATGAAGTCTCCTTTTCTGTATATTCACCTCCTCATTGTAGGATACGCTCCATCTGGCTCATAAAACGGATCTAAATTTTCCTACTCGAGTAGACGGATGAGCCATAGCAGCGGGCAGCTCTCTCTGGGATGGTCCGAGGCTCAGGGAGCTCTCTGGGCTCCAAAGCCAGCTGCTCGGGGCTGCAGAGCAGCCGGGCAGACACAGGCAGGCAGAGCGGTCAGTGTCAGAACAGCGGCTGGAACGGGTGGGAGGCGACGGGCCGAGAAACCACACGACCAAGCGCCGCAGAGTGGACATGAGGTATAGTGTTGTCTCATCTTCATAGCACTTAGTTTTTCATTCTGAGAGCATGTCCTGGTCACCACACACAGAGGACACACACAGTAAAAAGTAAAAGAGAAAGACTCCCTCCTCTCCCCCCCAAAAATCCAAATTGCCTCAGCCAAGAGGAGCCTAAAGAACCAGGAGGACTGACTACGTACGGTCTGTGTGTCATTTCGCAACAGGGAGGGGATGTGAGAATGAAACGGAGGGAATCCAAGTTAGGGATAGACTTCAGTTCATCACAAAAACATACAGACACGACGTCCCCTCCCCGGGAAACTGCCATTTCCAGGTGGGAGGACCACTGTCATAGGAGGCACAATCCTAAGGGCCCGCCCTTCTGTGGAGTGGTGTTGTTTTTTTAAATCTGAGATATAATAATATTACATTCAATGAACATTGATATCTCAAGAAAAAAAGGACTTTAAGTATAAGGATGTTAACCAAAACTGTACTGACATAGCATAATATCGCACAAGTTGTAGGAAATATTACAAATCTGCAAATAACAGGATTACTTCTATTATACTGTAAAATATTTTTTCTCCTCTGGCTCTATATTTTTTTAAGTTTTAATAACATTTATTTATTTATTCTATTCGGATGTATTTTATTTCCCACCACTTTGTTAATGAGATTAAAAGATTGTCTCCAAAGAACCAAGGGAAAGTATACAGTGAAACAGCAGAGAATTCTAGAATGGGCCAAGTCAGTCAGCACTTGACAGCCGTGAAGCTAGAGAAAACAATAAAGACAATTTATTTGCTCAGCAAACGGTTAAAGTAATTTTGTTTCATGGCACTAATTGAAACTAACTGTAAATACTTCCTTCACAAGGCCTGGTGTCTCTCATTAAGGACAAAGATAATGTACCCTTCGGTTTTCAAGGTAAGCCTGTAACCTTTGTTAAATGTTCTTATGTTAATGACCTTGAGCAGATAGTCACAATGAGTAGGAGAGATAAAAAAAAAAATTAGGATATTACCCTGGGGTAAAAAAAGGAACTCTTACCATTTGCAACAGCGTGGATGGACCTGGGGAGCGTTATGCTAAGCGACATAAGCACTCATTTGTGGACTATAATGAACAACATAATCTGATGAACAAAAGCAGATCCAGAGACAGAGAAGCATCAACCAGACCGTCAAACCTCAGAGGGAAGGTAGGGGAGGGTGGGGGTAAGGGGGAGAGATCAACCAAAGGACTTGTATGCAAGCATATAAGCCTAACCAATGGACACAGACACCCGGGGGGTGAGGGCATGAGCGGGGAGGGGCGGCGGGGGTAATGTGGGGATAAGGACACATACGTAATAACTTAATCAATAAAGAAATTTTTAAAAAAATATATTTTATTGATTTTTTACAGAGAGGAAGGGAGAGGGAGAGAGAGCTAGAAACATTGAGAGAGAGAAACATCGATCAGCTGCCTCCTGCACACTCCCCACTGGGGATGTGCCCGCAACCAAGGTACGTGCCCTTGACCAGAGTCGAACCCGGGATCCTTGAGTCCGCAGGCAGAAGCTCTATCCACTGAGCCAAACCGGTTAGGGCAAGAAATTTTTAAAAAAAATTATGGTACTTGGTAGCAGCAAGAAGAAAATATGTACGTAGTTTCCCATAAACAAGTCATATTTTTTGAAAAAGGGAGAACATGTGGTCCACATGTCACCTATGGAATGTGTAATCTTGCTAATTACTTAGTATTTGGAAAAAGGCTTTGAAGAGGAGATGTTCTGGCTCTGTGTTTGTCCATCAGTTTCTGTTGTTCGTTTTATTCCACAAATGAGTGAGATCATGGGATATTTATGTTTCTCCGACTGGCTTATTTCGCTTAGCACAATGCTCTCCAGTTCCATCCACGCTGTTGCAAATGGTAAGAATTCCTTCTCTTTTTACCGCAGCGTAGCATTCCATTGTGTAGACGGGCCACGGTTTTCTAATCCACTCGTCTGCTGATGGGCACCGAGGCTGTGTCCAGATCTTCGCTATGGCGAATTTGTGCTGCTGTGAACATAGGGGTGCCTACGTCCTTTCTGATTGGTGTTTCTGGTTCCTTGGGATATAGTCCTAGAAGTGGGGTCACTGGGTGAAACGGGAGTTCCATTTTTAGTTTTTTGAGGCAACTCCAGACTGCTTTCCCCGTAGAGCGTGTAGTCCGTATCTAGACCCTGCTCTACATGTGTGTGTTGACTCAAGTAATCGTCAACAATCTCTGACTGCCATCCATACAAGTCTGTCCCATCTTACAGACCGGAAAAGAAGGCGCCGGAAGCCAGTCCGCCCAAGGAGGCATTGCCGTCAGAGCTGGAGCGTGAGTCCGCCTGTGCCCCAGGGCTCATCCCCCGGGGGACTGTAGAGGTGGGTGCTTTCCTGCTCTCTCAGTGTGCATGCCCACAGAGCCATCCACGCACGATTGATTGATTGATTGATTGATTGATTGATTGTCCATCGCGTTTTCCTACCCATCCCCGTGATCGGAGCAGACTTCCTATGCCTGGGGCATTGCCTCCCAGTCGTCACTAGGCCAGGGAGGCATATTCTAGGGGTGTCACCTTCTAAACGCCTTCACATATTACTTCCCTTGAAATGTAAGAACTACTAGAAACGGCAATTTTTTTTTTTTGTCGTCAAAAACTGTTCAACATGGATCATTCCCAGGGTTCAGCCTAAACCTTCCTCCTTTACGCTGGCCTTTTCATGTATCATTGTCTCTGTCTATCCATTCGGTGAGCCCAGGGGATGGAAGTGGAGGTATAACTGGACAACCCAGGGGTCCGGGCTGCGGGTCACTGCTTGAGGCCACTGATGAGAGACGGGGTTGGATCCTAGGGGAGTGCTGATTCCAGTCCTCTCAGCAGCACAGGACAGCAGCCGGGCAGCCATAAACACCCCCCCCCCCACACACACACCATAAGCCAGCTGCTTCTTTGGGGTAAAAGGACAAAGATTACGTGCAACAGTAGGAATTGCTGGTATGGAAAAGCAGGCAAGAGAGAAAAGGTTACAGGTCACAGGCCATGCGGGCTGCGGACTGGTTTGCACAGGGCCGATGCCTCCCGGCGCCCCAGGACCAGATCCCAGGCCATAGGGGCTGCGGGTTGCAAAGGCCAGGCGCCTCTGGAACCAGGTAGTTTCAGCCACGAGGCTGCACATTTTTCCCTGATGATAAGCGGTTCTCGGAAAAACAGGGTGGGCTGCATTCCAACGCGAGCTGCCCCGTCCCGGGCTGGAACGGGCTTTCTCTAACCGGGACAGAACCATCGGGGTGAACAGAGCAGGATTAATATGAATATTTCTGATGAGGGCAGTGGACCCCCCACTCTTCTCCTTCTGCCCCTCACGTAACCACCTCCCCGGAGGCACACGGTCCCCAGCCTTTCACGGTGACCGACCCCTGCAGGGGGGGGTCTCTTGGGTGTGAGATCATTGGCTACGAGCTTGGGGGGATGGGGAAGGGGTCCGAGCCACTTAATCCCCCAACGGACAATTGGGAAAAGGGAAAGGTATGCAAAACACTATGCAGATGACCCGGTGGAATCCGGGGCGCAATTTCCCCTCGGGCTTGGGACGATGTTCCAAGCTATGCAGATGCAAACATCCTGGTTCCCAAGCGCCCATGACACCCGCAGGGGCACTGTGGGGGGTGGGGGTGGGGGATGGAAATCCTTGTTCACTCGTGTTGTAGGAAAGTGCTATTCCCCCCGTCCCTGGATTGTTGGTAGACATTCAGGTGTTTCCAAGTAAAGGCTCTTGTTTTATAAAGGGATCTAAGTTCTTTTTTTTTTTTTTCTCCCTCTTTTTTTGGTGGTTGGCGAGTTTGATGGAATCGATGGTCTTGGCATTCGTTTGCACAATTTAAAGTAGAAAAAAATAGGGGAACAGGGGGATCTCGCTGAATGGGAACCACGAGGGACCTGTGGGTTCTGGGTTCTGCGGGGCGGGGATTGCATCGCTGTGGGACACCGAGCTTGGGTGGGTCTCGGGGTGCCCGGGGTGGGCGGCGGCGGAATAGAGCCGATGGTGCCCGCAGACGTTTACCGGGAAACGGGAATGATGATTTCCTGAACGTGGGACACGCACCGAAAACCGGGGAGCCATTGTCTTGAACCCCGGGGCGGGGTGCCCCCGGGGCGGGCGGACCCCCGGCCCCCTTGATCGCCGGCGGGCAGCGCGCAGGCGCCCCGCTCTGCGGCAAGAAGGCAGCACTGCGGCGAGTTGCCGCGCACGCGCGGGGCCGCAGGGGTTCGGGGGTGCGGAGGGGGCGCCTGCGCAGACGGGACCGGCTGGCGCGTTCTGGGGGCGCTGCGGCGGCGAACCCCGCGCAGAGCGGAGCGGCCGCCGGAGATGCCTGACGTCTCGGTGTGAGCTGCGGCCGGCGGCGCCATGGACCGGGCCAGGTCAGCCTCGGGCGCCCGCGGCACGGCCCCTCCTGGGTCCCGTCCTCCCCGGTAGCGGGAGCCGGTGTGAGGTCTAAACGGCGGTCGGAAGGGGGGGGGGGAACCCAGGACCGAAACGGTCTTTGTTTGGGGGGATCGTGGGGTCCCCTTGGGCCTGGCGGCGCGCGGCTCGGCTGTGCGTAATGGGATGGCGCCCGGGCCCTGGGGCGCAAAGCGCGGCTTCCTGGCGGGGCGTCCCTTTGTCCTTGAGCCCGCGGGCCCGGGGTGGGGGCGGGGGGCCCTGCCACGGCGGCGGGGGCGGGGTGGGGAGGGGGCGGGTGGGCGGGCGCGGGGAGGGGGATGCGGGTGGGCTGACCGCGGTGGCGTGAGGGGGCGGAGCGTGGGCGCTCTTAATGGCCCCGGCGGCGAGGGGCAGCCACAGCGGCGCTCGGAGGGTCGGCGAGCCCCTCGGCGGGCGAGGCCCAGGTGCGAGCGGCGGCGGCCGACTGAGCGCCCCGCGGAGGAGGCGGCGTGGCGATGGGGTCCGCGGGGTTGGCCAGGGGATCCAGGGGATCCGGGGCTGCGGCGCCATGGCGGAGGCGCTCGGTGCTGGGGCCGCGGTGGCGATGGTGGCGGCGGTGCGATTGCGGTCCGGGGGTTGCCAAGGCGGTGGCTGCGGTGGCGGGATGGCCGCCCGCCCGCCTTGCGCTGACGTCACTTGGAGAGAAGGTCCGATTGTCGGGGACCCGGGGGGACATTCTGTGTGTCGTGGCGAACTGGTGCCCCCCTTGCGCAGAAGGGGCGGCCGCAACCGTGGGAAAGGGTTCCCGTGCTTATATTTGGCTCCTGGATCCTCCGTCGCATGGTCCCTGCGGTGGAGGGATAGCGACTCGGTGTGCGAATAGGGACTCGGTGTGCGAATGGCTACTCGGTGTGCAAATAGGGACTCGGTGTGCGAATAGGGACTCGGTGTGCGAATGGCTACTCGGTGTGCAAATAGGGACTCGGTGTGCGAATGGCTACTCGGTGTGCGAATAGGGACTCGGTGTGCGATTGCGGACTCGCTGTGCGAATGGCGACTCAGTGTGCGTTTGGGGAGTCCATGTGCGAATAGGGTCTCGGTGTGCAAATAGGGACTCGGTGTGCGAATAGCGATTCGGTGTGCGATTGGGGACTCGGTGTACGATTGGGCACTCGGTGTGCAAATAGGGACTCGGTGTACAATTGGGGGCTCGGTGTGCAGAGCTGGCTCCTGGCATCGCGAGAACGTGCCCAGTGTTTCGGGGATGCGATCCCTGGTTAGTCTTTGCCGCTTCGGGGACAAAGGCTTTGGGTATAAGGCGCCCGAAGGCGGGCTGGGTGCGCGGACTTGGGTGGCGCCTCTCAGCCTTTGTGCAGCGCCTCAAAGATGGCCGCTGCCGCAGTGGCGCGGGGCGTGCAGGGCGCAGGCGCCAAAGGCAGGGGGACCGCCGCCCACCGCTCCCAGTGCCGCAGTGGGGGAGGTGCGGAGCCCGGCGCCTGCGCAGAGCCGAGGGGGCGGGCCCTCGGGGGCGGGCTGATGCCCCCCTCTCCAAAGTGCCGCAGTGGCAGAGGGTGCGGCCCTGCGCAGGCGCATCGCACTGCAGTGGGCGGGCTTCAGGGAGGGCTTCTGCGCAGGCTCCGCCCGGCGCGGCGCGCAGCCACGCCCATCGCCTCTTTAAAGCCGCTGCCTTCGGCTGCAGCCGCGCAGTCGCGGGAGGGAGGCGGCAGGATGCAGGCGGGCTGGCGCGGCCTCTGCCACGCGGCAGCCCCTCCCCGCCGCACAATGTGGAGGGCGAGGAGGCGGGCGCTTTGTGCAGGGGCGACCCCTGCGTGCGCTGCCCGCCTGGACGAGCACCCAGAAGAGCGAGGAAGGTAAGGCAGCCGGTTTTCTGACTCCCCAGAAAGTTCTTTTTTTTCATTTTTGCAGGTTTGCCCTTGGAGTGCATGCTGAGCGCCCTAACTAATTGTTCTCTCTCTGCAGAGCGGATCCAACAGCCTTCCTTGTAGCGGCTCCTCCTATAACACTTTCCCCTTTCCAGGTTTGGGGTTCCACACGGAGGCACCCCTGGGAGTCGGGAGCGGTGCTCGGTCCTCGGGGAGTCCGTGCATGACGTCACCTTTCCAGAGGGGTGTCTTAAGGGGGGTCGGGGATCAAGGGGATAGCCGAGGGGAGAAGCTGAAAAGCAGGGGGAACGGCCCGGGTCGGTGGGGGTACCTGGGGCTTTTTTGTAAATTAACGTCTGCGATGCATCATTCTTGCAGTGGGGGGCGGGCGCCAGGAGAGGTCCTTTGAAAGGATATTGGGGGGCTCTTAAAGGTTTTTTTTCCAGGATTTAGGTGTGGCCCCCCCTTTTTCCCCTCATCCCTCGCCCCCAGGACATCTGGTTGTGCGGGGCTGGGAAGGAATTTCACTCAGAAACGGCGTCCGCCCGGGGCGGGCTTTGTTCTGGGCGCTTTGTCCTCGGGGAGGAGGGGTGGCGGGCCCGGGCTGGCGACGCAAGGACGGCGCCCATTTATTATGTCAAGCACGGCCCCGCCTCCCACCTGCGAGTTGGCTTCGCGGGAGACGTGGCGCGGGGAGGGCCCTGGTCGCCCGCCCGCCAGGAGCCCCGGGTGGCGGCCCCCGAGGACCGTGCGGACGTGGCGGGGCGGGGCTTCGGGGGGCCGCGCTGGGCGGGGCCGGGGAGCCCGCGGAGGCGAGCTGGTGCCTTTGGGCGATTTGACACATTATTTGACCCTTTCTTTGGGCCTCGACGTCGAGGCTCCTTTGTCCCCGCCACGTCGGGGCCGCGCAGGGGAGCCCGTTCTTTGTCCTGGGCCTCGGGCCGGCCCCCAGAATCCTCCGCGCGGGGTTTTGTTCTGGGCGAGCCAACGGGTTTTCTCACGTTTGTGGGAAAAGCTGCGGGCGGGTTCGCACCCAGTGTCCTTCGCTTGCAGTTTGCAGGTTTTTATTGAGATTTCAGCAGTTGGATTTTACTGATTTTTTTGGGGGGGGGCGGTGGGTTTTGAGGATATAATGAGGAAAATATTATGGTTTGTTAAACATTAATTAGGAAAGCTATTGTGGGATCTTAATCTGCTGTGTATTGGCAGGTTTTTTTTTAAATTTATTGGGAAATAAACTGCATTGTGTGTCTAAAACAGCATTTCCCGCCTTAAATGCCTAATTCTGAGAAATGTTGGTTTCTGGGGGTGCGATGCAGGAAAGGAAGATCGTCAACGTGCGGGCAGAACACACTTCACTTTTCCCAAATTCACACATTTTGCGAGTGTGGGGGTTGGCGAGAGGGCATCCTGGTGTTTTTATTAATTAGTTGTATTACAGCTGCGGTGTGGGGCCGGCCAAGGATGCATTTCCGCCCTGGGGGCGCTTGTGGGGTGCGCCCGAGGCCCCCACTGCCGGCGCCCAGGTGCGCGGGGCGGCCTGCAGGTCCATGGGCGGTTTTCCCCGAGGACAGGGCTGAGCGCCTCCCTGGTCCGCGGGAGGGCGGCTGCCCACGGGTGTGCCCGTCCCTGGAGGGTGGGCTCCCGCCGCCCCGCCTTGACGGGGGAGCAGAGGCTTTTCGTAGCCGCGCACCAGACGCGAAAGTCGCGGGGAGGGTCTCCTTGGTCAGAACAAAGCTTCACCCGCAGGACAGGCTGGGGGGGGATGGCGCCCCTTTGTCCGCGAGGGCGTCAGCTCAGGGCTCGGGTGGGGAAGCTCCGCCTCCCGAAGCGCTTTCTTCTGTCCGCCCCGAGCCAGCGGTTTTCAAAAGTTAGATTCCGACGGGCCCTGAGCCTGCCCACAGGAAGGGCCACGTGGCGGGTTTGGCGCCCGCGGCGGCCATTTTGTGAGCCGGCGCCATCTTCGGGCGGCCATTTTGAGCCGCTTCCCCGGCGGCCATGTTGGGCGGCCATTTTGTGAGCTGGAGGCGGCGAGGCCCTAAGATGGCGGCCGTGGCTCCCGCCTCCCTTTGTTCCGGTTCGTCCTGGCAGGGGGCGCCCCGGGCTTTTCACTTAAAATGGATGCCTTTTCTCCCCTAACGAAGCCCCTTGTCTATTAGGGACGTTTTTCAGGCCACTTCCCGTCCACGTGGCAGTGCCCGGGCCGAGGCTCTGTCTGCGGAGCGCGCGGGCTGTCATGGGGTGGCGAGGGCGGTGTCCTCCCGCTTGTGCTTCACTTTCTGACCCCCAGGTCCCCGCGGGAAGGCGCCTTGTGGGAGGGCGAGACCCGGCCCGTAGCTCCAGGGCCCAGGGCCCAGCGCAGCTAACGCCCCCCTGTCCCCCGCAGGGACCGCCTGCCCCAGCGACGGCCCGAGCAGCAGGCGCCCGAGGCGGCGGTGCAGGTGAAGCGGCGCAGGACGGCCTCCCTGGGCGCGCGCGTGTGAGTCCCCCTGTCCCCGCGCCACTTCCCCTCCTCCCCCCCCCAGACCCGGAGTCAGGCACCCCCAGCCCCGCAGCGCCCCCTGAGCAGGGAGTGAGCCCCGCCCTCCTCCCCCAGACCCGGAGTCAGGCACCCCCAGCCCCGCAGCGCCCCCTGTGCTGGGAGTGTGAGCCCCGCCTTCCTCGCAGGGGGGAGGGGCCCTGCCCCTGGCCACGCCCCCGCCGCTGGCACCGCTCTCTCCACGGCCACGCCCACGAGGCCACGCCCCCGGGGAAGGGCTGGGCCGCCCGCTGACTGTGCTCACTGTGCCCGCAGGTGCCCGCTGAACCCGCGCCCGTCCCCGCGGCAGCCCGCGCCCCTGGTGGACTTCCTGGACTTCCAGGCGGAGCTGCGCCAGGCCTTTCTGGCCGAGACGCCCCGGGGCGGCTAGAGCCCGCGCCCACCGCCCGCCAGAGCGCAGAGCAGGTTTGAGCCGCGAGGCCCGTGCGGCACCGGGGCCATGGGCGGGCCTGGGGGTGTCACTGGGCGGGGCTCTCAGGAGCAGGAAGGCCCTCCCTCGGCCTCTGCTCATAGGGGCGTCTCCACTTGCACGTGACCTTGACAGGAGAGCGCACAGACACCCGCTGAGTAGCTGCTAATGAATGTTCTAGAACCCTCCGTTCCAGCTGGCAGTTTGCATAGAGCAGGGCCTTGCTCTGCGTTAAACAGCCACTGCGGGTGCGTGTGCAGACGGCACAGGGAGGGAGAAGGCGCATGGCTAAGGCACGTGCGCAGGGTCTGCGGAGGAGCACATTCATTAGCAGGTGCAGCAGGTGCCCCGCCTTTCGGGTTGCCCGCCTCCCCTTTGTGTTCGCACCCATGTACTCCCATCAGCGACATGTAATAAAGACATTTCCCATGATGCCATGTGCTGTCCGTTTATTTGCTGTATGTCTCTTTCTGTTGGTTGCTTGTATTTTTAGGAAAAATCCATTCCATGTTTTAATTCTGATTTAATGCTTTGTTTTTCCTTTGTGACTTTGATTTAAGATTGGAATTACCTCAATGCAAAGGGTTTAATATGTGCTTTTTAGAAACAGATGAAGGGGGTTACAGGTGAGTTTTCTTTCACAATTCCTTTTTCTGTTTTTAAATATTATTTCTCAACTCCAATTACAAAGCCTGATTATGGGTACATTTCCAGTTGTAAGCCAAGGAGACAGTATTTTAGATGCCCGAGCCTGTGAAGTTGCCTGCCCGCGGTCTGCAGTGGTGTCCACATACACTGCGGCCACAGAGCCCACCAGACAGGGCTGGTTCTGTCCCCGTCCCAGAGCACGGGGTCTGCCATGCCCACAAGCAGTTAGACAGGGTTTCCTGCCTCCTGGTCAGGGAGACAGGCAGCTCCTACATAGATCGTGTCCATCAGACCCTGACGCCTGCAGGCCGAGCAGGGGCCTTGAGATAAGCAGCTTGCCTGCCTGTCAGTCCACGTTCCTGACTGGGCCACACCCATGTGCTTGCATGTGGTCTGGTTGCCTTGGCAACCATGGCAGGAGGGGAGGCAGAGAAGGAGAGGCTGGTGGGGACGTTAGAGAAGGGGCATTAAGCCAGCAGGGTGGGGCTTCGGGTTCAGGGTCAGGGCCTGCATTAAAGTCAGCTCTGCATGTGAACGGTGATCATACTTACTTCCGCATTATTAATCTAAAGCATGTGAGTGATAGCCAATAAAATGGAAAAGTAAACCCCCAACTTCATGCCCACCAAACAGCACGAGGTTGGAATTTATTTTTCCCACTTGATTTTGTTTTGAAAATGTAGGTAGGGGTGGGATCATGCTCTTAAAACTTAATTTATTTTCTATTTATTTCACTGACATGTATGTCATGAATGATCATTTTTTACATCGCTTGCATGATTATCATTTATAGTAAATAAATGATAGTCCACCCTGCTGTACATTTCGTTATTTTCCTACTTTGCTATGCTAGAGCCTTGGTTCTGTATTTTTCAGATTCATTGGCATCTTAAATGAGGGTGAAGTCTGGCGGGCAGTGCAGGGTGTAGTGTTAGGATGACAGTCTCTGGCCATCAGAACGAAAGCTGATAGCAGGACCACTTCGGAATCTTACTCTACTTGACTAATAAAACAGCCAAAAAAGGAAGCTCTGTAGTTTTACCTGGAGTTTCTCTGCAGGGAAAAGTTTTCTATTTATTTACTTGCTAAACTTTTTTTGCACATTCATGGTGAGGGTCTTTTTTTGCCAGTTCAGATGAGCAGGAAGGAATGTGTCTTGGCAAAACCAGGCCATTCTGTGACTTGCAGAAGCTTTTGTTTCTCATGCAGTTTACTAAGTCCACACTTTCCCAGAAGTTTGAGAACTTGCGAGGGTGCCAGGTGTTAGACCAGGGACCTGAGTGCAAGATTGGGGAGGTGCCCTGTGATGGGAAGAGCACCCACAGCTGGTGCAGCGCGAGGTGACGCCATGGAACCTGGCCTCTTGTTCCACAGGCATTTGTTCCCCTTCACCATTGACATCAAGTGGGTCCTGGTGCACAGCGATGTCTTCTCAGGAGGTGTTGACAATTATGGGACCTAAATTTAGGGTCAGGAGAGAACTATGCTTAAACTTCCAGTCCTCCCATTAGAGAAAGAGGAGATAGCTGGCGCTTTTATAGAGAATCCTCTCACTAGTCACCTACAATGTACTCACGTGGGTTTGGGTCAGTAACTATCTTTACATAATTTTTTTTTTTAAATATTGCACATCAGACATGGGAACATACAATCATGCTTGTCTCAGGGCATACCTGGGTGATGGGAGAGAAGCTAGAATTAAGTGGGGTGTAGATGCTAGAAATAAAGGTGTTGGAGCCGTGTGGACAGGGTGGAAGTGTGATGCCTTGCAGGGGAAGCAAGGTTCTGGAGGAAGGAATTTTATGAGCAATTTGGTATCAGACTGTTAAGGTGAGATGACTAGGCATGAACTTGGGGCCAGAGCACAAAGCACTTGTAAGGAGAGCAAGACAGTAGCTGCAGAAAGAGCTAAAGGCTTCATTGGGACCCTGGGCAGCTGCAGGGTGAAGAGTGGATGCGGGGGTGGGGGGTGAAGAGATGAGGGGGCGGCAGTGACCAGGCTCAGTGGCAGGTAAGGGCTGTAGGGATCATATGTAAACTCAGGCCCACGCAGCGTATTGAGGGTAAACAGGAAATGGGGTTTGCTGGGAGCCTGGGGCTGTGAGGTGTTTGAGGGGTGCCTTTTCCAGTGATTTCCGAGCCGAATGGATGGCGGCAGCTCGACCCCGCTTTCCTCTGCAGGCGCCCCCTCTGCCGGAGCTCCTGCCAGCTTGCTTGTGCGTAGCAGAGCCCGCGTCACCCCTTTGTCTGTAGCCTCCCCTTAGGTCTCAGATCCCACACTTTCCTGTGCACGTGGACGTGGTGGCACCGCAGCCATGGTGAGCCTGGCACGGGCAGGGGCGTGGGCTGGGGAGGGCACCGCGAAGGTCAGCCAGAGCCTGGGCAGCTGCTGCTAGACTGTAACAGTGAGAGGGTCTATCTAGAGAGATGGGGGGGCCTCCCCAAAGGGCCACAGAAGGTGCTGGCATATTAGTAAGATCTCAGAGGGCGACTCAGAAACCTCTGGGAAAGGAGCTGTAATCACAGGCCACGAGGATGGCCTTAAGGCAGCGGTTCTCAACCTTCCTCACGCTGCGACCCTTTAATCCAGTTCCTCATGTGGTGGTGACCCCCAACTTCATTGTTACAAATTGAACATAATGAAAGCAGAGTGATTAATCACTAAAATAATACGTAATTATAGATGTGTTTTCCGATGGTCTTAAGGCGACATCTGTGAAAGGGCCCTTTGACCCCCAAAGGGGTCAAAAACCCATAGATTGACAACCACGGCCTTAAGGGAACCCAAGAGATGGGGTGGGGGTGGCAGTGCCTCGCGACACAGGAGGGTGCTGTGACCGGGTGCAAAGCTGCAGGAGGAAAGGCCCTGGGAGGAGAGTGAGGAACCAGGCTGGGGGTTAGACAGGATGGGAGTCCATGGGGGGGGGGGGTCAGGTTGGGGCAGGGCACAGGCAGGTTCTGGGAGGAGGGTCCTCAGCAAGAGGGGCCCAGGCCACATGGGGAAGGCCAGGGGAGACACAGGAAGGAGGGAACAGGGGAGACTCAGGAAGGAGGGAGGCAGCTGTGGACAAGAGAACCCCTGTCCCCGCAGACGGTGGGCAAGAGCAGCAAGATGCTGCAGCACATCGACTACCGCATGCGCTGCATCCTGCAGGACGGCCGCATCTTCATCGGCACCTTCAAGGCCTTCGACAAGCACATGAACCTGATCCTCTGCGACTGCGACGAGTTCCGCAAGATCAAGTAAGGCCGCGTTCTCACGGGGTCTCTTCAGTGTTGCGTTGCTGTCAGAGAGAAGGGGGAGAAATAGGAAGAAACCTCCCTGATCATCATTGATCAGGTGCCCCCCGCTCGCCCTGACCTCCAGGGTCGGGTGGACCTCAGCCAGGGAGGCACACCAGCCAGACACTGTCTGTCCACTCTGCTCAGAACAGGGACCACCCACCCACAGTGAGTCCTGTGGAGGCCACTGTCTGTCCAGCCTCCTCTGCTCCGTGGGAGGGGCCTGGTGGCCTCTCCCGTAGGAGCACGGGTCCTGCTTCCTCACCCTGCAGTCCTGCTGCTGACAGGAGAGGTCACTGGCACCCATTTCCATGGCCCTTGGTGGGAAAGGGGAGGCCAGGATGTCACGTGGTTAATCAACCTCCTCTTTCTCTGTTGGTGCTGATTACTGTCCCCTTCCTTCGTGGTTACCTACGACGTTCAGTTAAACGTGATTTTAAGAGCTTCCCGTGGTCACACAGTGAGGCTTTCATTGCCTGATGGTCTTAGCCAGTCAGTTGCGTCTCTTCCACAGAGAAGGGTCTGCGTGTTGTTTCCTTGGTTAGTTCTCCTTTTGAGAGCGCGCTCGGTCCCGGGGTGACTGAGACAGACTCCGGTTTACAGGCCAAAGAACGCCAAGCAGCCCGAGCGAGAAGAGAAGCGGGTGCTGGGCCTCGTGCTGCTGCGCGGGGAGAACCTGGTGTCCATGACTGTGGAGGGGCCTCCCCCCAAAGACGTAAGGACAGAGCAGGGCAAGCAGACAGGGATGGGGGCGGGGTGGGGACAGCACAGGGGGCGCTGCTCTACCGAGCACAGCAGGCACCGGGGGTCCTAGGCCCACGTGCCCCAATCTGACTGCACGCCTGGTGGTGAACACGGAACTGTGCTGGGTGCCCCATAGATAAGGGGGCTTTTGTTTGCTGTCTTGGGCAGCCCCATAAAATAGCAACTTTTGATGAATTAGCAGCTAAGCTGCAGGTGCCTGTGGTGTCCTTTAACAGGACAGGAGACTGAGGGTGGGAAATAGGAGGATGGCGTCGCGCTGGTGGTCCTTTGACTTCAAGCTATTCCTGGTTTCAGACTGGCATCGCTCGCGTCCCCCTGGCCGGGGCTGCAGGAGGCCCTGGGGTTGGCAGGGCGGCTGGCAGAGGCGTCCCAGCTGGCGTTCCTATTCCACAGGCTCCTGCGGGACTAGCAGGCCCTGTCCGAGGGGTAGGGGGACCCTCCCAGCAGGTGAGGAAACAAGAAGTCTGATGCTCTGGGGGCTGTGCCCAGAGCCAGAGGAGTGGGCGTGAGCTCAGACAGGGCAGCCACAGTGCGGAGCTGCCACAGGGCCTGTGCGGTAGGGGGCATGTGCGATGGAGGAGGTACTGGCGCTGGAGCAGTGTTCTAACCTGTGAATGGGACTTGCACGAAGGGCTGTGGGTGTCAAGACATCAAATGCTCATCACCCCCATTGATCTTCTGTCTGAACGAGGGAGGACGGGCATGACCGGGTGTCTCTGGCGTCCTCTCCAGGTGATGACTCCACAGGGACGAGGCACTGTTGCGGCTGCCGCGGTAGCGGCCACGGCCAGCATTGCTGGAGCCCCGACTCAGTACCCCCCGGGGCGGGGGACACCCCCCACCCCTGTGGGCCGGGCCACCCCCCCTCCAGGTAAGGAATTGATGGGGGTAGGTCTGGCAGCAGAGCATCATGGACAGGAACCGGGGACAGATGCCCATCTTCGCCTCCTGGCGTCCAGGGGCAAGGCTTCAGGGTGTCTGAGTGGCGGATGGCGTCTCGGCCGCGTTGGTTGCAGCTTTGTCGGTTCATATATTTTGAATTTGTTGGTCATTCCTGCTGTTTTCCTGTCCTAGGCATTATGGCTCCTCCACCGGGTATGAGACCACCCATGGGCCCACCCATTGGGCTTCCCCCTACTCGAGGGACCCCGATCGGCATGCCTCCTCCAGGAATGAGGCCCCCGCCCCCCGGGATCAGAGGTGAGTTGGCTCAGAGGCCCCTGGATTCCAGGTGCGCCCCTGATGATTGTCTCATGCGGTCTTGTTTATCTTCCAGGTCCACCGCCCCCAGGAATGCGTCCACCAAGACCCTAGGCTACTGTTGTCCTTAGTCTCTCTCTGCACTGTGTCTCGTGAAACTGTAGCGTGTTTGTGAGCTGTCCTGCCGCACTGATAGTCACTAATAAACGATAGAGCAACACACTGAGGGCTGTGTGCATTCCTTCCGTTGGTTTGTTGAGGTCAGAGTGACACGGGCCTTCTCTCCTGTTGGATTTATCCTGTGGGGCGAGGTGAGGCCTGCTGAGCCATGCACTCGGGGCCTTGCTCTCAGGACATGGTGTTGCGTTCTAACCTTCGCGCTGTGCCTTGGCGATTGTAACAGCCTCCACACGCATGCGTTTAGGTGGTGAGCTGACAGGCACACGGTCTCTGTACCTGTTGGGCCCTACATACCTGCAGGGCTGGGATGGGCTGAGGGCTTGTGAGGCCACGGAGAGAGGAAGCTGACGGGGATCACGCCTGAGGAACAGGAAGCCCGCCCTGGTCTGCTTATCCAGGGCTCTGCCTGTGACCAGTGGCCATGATCTGGGAGTGACCACCACTTCCTGCCCACAGGTAAGGACTCACACTTCAGCTTTGGGCAGGCTGGGTAGGGGGCAGGGGCTCCTGTTAGAGCAGCGGTTTTCAACCTGTGGGTCACAACCCCTAAGACCATTGGAAAACGCATAATTACATATTGTTTTTGTGATTCATCACTATGCTTTAATTATGTTCCATTTGTAACAATGAAATTGGGGGTCACCACAACGTGAGGAACTGTATTAAAGGGTCGCAGCATTAGGAAGGTTGAGAACCCACTGTATTAGAGGGACGTGGTGCTCCTCAGACCCTAAAGGACAGTGGGCACTACGTCCAGTGTGTCAGTTGGGTTTGATGATGGAGCCCAGAGGTGTGAGGAAAAGAGCTAAGAAGGAACCAGTGTCAGACTATGCAGTTACGGACGTGTAATTACTTACAAAGGGGACAGGGAGGAATCTGGGCTTAGACTGCAGTTAGGAAACCAGGGACCCTCGATGTGTAACTGGTGAATGGGATTAATTCAGCAACGCGGGACTGGGCTGACTGTATGTCTGTTTTTTCCAGCACAGGCTTGTTGGCCTCCATCGCCTTTTCACACAAGACGAAGGGGAGCTGCAGGGCCTGCGGATGGCCTGCCAGGTAAGCAGCACACAGCCTGGCTTCCTTCCCTCAGCAGCCGAGAGAGCACAGCCCTGATACGACGTAACTGTGGTATATCAGGACCCGTTTTCTGGGTGCTCTGCTCTGGGAATACCGGAGGATTATTTGTGCGAATTCAGGACATCTGACTGCAGGGAGTCTGCAGGCAGGGGGCCTTTAGGTTTTGGTCACACAGCTACTGGAGGCAGACATCTTGAGATGCCAGCCAGAACCCTGCTGCTGGGAGGGTCTTCGTCTGTAAAGCGTCTGTAAAGGCACACGACACTTGGGAGTACAGGGTGTTGCCATAGATTCAAGTAGGAGTCTGCCTTAAGGCTTTGTTTTTTGGGTATTCTTTGTTTAATTAACTGATTTATTTTTATTTTTTTGAATATATTTTATTGATTTTTTTACAGAGAGGAAGGGAGGAAGGGAGAGGGATAGAGAGTTAGAAACATCGATGAGAGAGAAACATCGATCAGCCGCCTCCTGCACATCTCCTACTGGGGATGTGCCCGCAACCCAGGTACATGCCCTTGACCGGAATCGAACCTGGGACCTTTCAGTGCACAGACTGACGCTCTATCCACTGAGCCAAACCGGTTTCGGCTAACTGATTTTTTTTTAATAAAAGGATATCACAGCCCCACAATGCTTCAAGCTCTGGGCAAGGGCTTGTGTTCATTTTCAATAAAACTTTATTGCTTTCATCAAGTAGGTCATTATAGTTCATTATAGTTGCTGCTGAATCGTGAGGTTTGCAAGGCTATCACCCATTGATACATTGCCAGGTGTCGTCTTAGTCATAGTTGCCGCCTACTTACCTTGGGCCTGGCACCCGGCAGTAATGCTGAGGATTTGAGTTGTATGAAGCCAGTGGACAAGGCATGATGGGGGTGGGTGGGTGGCACAATACAACCTGTCCCGGCTCACAAAGTCCCTTTCTGCCCCACAGTGACACCTGGACAGGAGGGATGCGACTCGTGTCCTGCTGAGCCAGCACTGCCACACCTGCCCTTCGGACAGACCCGCCCCTCCAGGTAAAGTAACCGCGCACAGAAACGCCCGCGTGCATTGCAAAGGCCATGGCTAGGTTCATGATGACACAGGACCTTGTCTGAACTTCATGATCTCAAAACATGAGCTTGGATGTGTCACTGAAATCTAGTCATGCGCCTCACACACACCTAGCACACCTGGTCAACAGGAAGTGTTGGCTTGACATGACAACTTAGCATACTTTCCATGGCAGTTAACACACGTTCGTTCCTCAGAAACATCTTTCCGTACAACCTTCACACGCATTTCAAGCGCATCCTTTTCTCTTCTGTACATATTTGTGCTGTTGGAGGCAACAAAGGAGGCACACCCACGGACCCCGACAGGCACACGTGTGGAGGGAGCGGATGCCAGGCATGGAGACTGCCCACCCGCCTGGGATGGAACGTCGACACCCGCGTTCTCGGTATCTAGTGGTGGCTAGGTGAAGGCCTCACGTTGACCAACATGCCGGCTGTATGGAACATGCCTTGCCATGGACACAGCTCCTGTTTGAGGACAATTGATCTTGTCTGTAACCTAGATCAGCGATTTTCAACCCATGTGCTCTGAAATTTTTAAAGCATGTAACTCGCCCTCCCTTAAACCATCAAATAGAAAATTATTAGAATCCACGCAACAATGGCTGTTCAGTATGAATTAATCAAAATTATACTTATCTTTAGGTCAAATTGGCAAAAATTGTATATTTTGGTGGCCCACTGAATTTTACTAATTGGCTTACGTGCTATGAAATGAGAAAGGTTGAAAATCGCTGCCCTAGGTTTAAGGTCTTACACAGTAAATGTTCAAGAAATGTGTGGCATTAACTAGTTTTCTAATGTTAACGGTACAGCCCTTACAAACCTTCAGTGACTCCCCCACAGTGGAAACATGTGATGACAATCCAGGCCTGTCCCACCCAACTCCATGCTTGATCTCTAAAAGGAGCCCCCTGCTCCCAGACAGGGCCGAGCTGTGGTGCCTGCAGGGACACTGTAGCCATTGTAGCCCGGAAGTCCTGCTTGAGGTCACAGGGCAGTGAGAGGACGCGGCTTGCTTAGCGCAGAGCAGCAGCATTTGACATCAGTCCCAGGACACCGATTCTGGAGTGAGCGTGGGTGAATGAATGCCTTCAGGAAGTCAGGCTCTGACAACAGGCGCTGGGCAGTCAGGAGGGACATCAGGTGTGGCTGCCATTTAATTCTCAAGTTGTAGTGGAAGAAGCCTTACGTGACTTCAGTCTTTAGCTAAAGGACATAGCTGTGCCCCATGGCTCCTGCCTTCAGTAGCATCTTTGTCATTCAGCAACTTGGTGAGCTTCTCTACCTGATTTCGGCATCTTGGTCATTATGTAGCATCTTTATCTTATTGCAGCTTCTTAATCTTTATGTAGCATCTCAATCTGATTGCAGCATCTTTGTGTAGCATTTTATCTTATTGCAGCATCTTTGTCATTATGTAGCCTCTTTATATCATTGCAGCTTCTTAGTCTTTATGTAGCGTCTCGATCTGATTGCAGCATATTTGTCTTTATGTAGCATCTTTACCTTAATGCAGCTTCTTTGATTATAGCTTCTTTATCTTAATCTTTCTGCAGCATCCTTATCACTTAGCAAGAATAAAGGTAAAATACAGGGTTCCCAATATGAGTAATTTGGTGACATCAGGAAAGGAGCTTGTGCTCTGGCCTCACGGTGACATGTGGGTGGCGTTCCCATAGCATTGGATTTCTTGTGTCAGGGAGAGTGGATTTCATCTGTTCGATCTGACTGACTTTCTTGACCATTCTCAACGACCTTTCCACCTTGATTTTTTTTTACACTTTGGAATACTTCAGATTTTCTTCCTGTAGCCTAGGTTCCTACATTGGATTACAACACGTTAGTGGAGGAGAGGAAGTTATCTGTCTGGTGATATTTGGTGTTCCACTTTTCAGTTGGGACAGTTGGCTTGGGGAAGTGGATTCTAAGATATTTTCTTGTAAGACACCAAAGGTCTCAACTTGATTCCAACAGATTTCTGGGTGTTTCGTGGTCTTTGATCCCCAGGTGTCACTTGAATGAAATTGCTGTCAAAGATGGCTGATGAGTCAGTCACTCACTCTTGTAGGCCAGGGCCTTCCTGATGGTAGAAATGTACAGTCCACAGGCATAGCCTTCAACCAGGTGCACTTGCTGTTGGTAAGACGTGGGCTTGACTCATGATGAGCTATGTTGTCTGAAGTGAATGACGTGAAGGTCACCCGAATACTCTGAAGTCCAGCCAAAGTGTCCATCCACGCACGTGGGCCGCACATTTCTTTAACATCCGTTTGTAGGCTGTACATTTCACCAGGCTTCCCATCAACATGGCAGGCTAGTCAGAGAGAGGAGGGCGCCGTGGGCTCTCATCCCCACCCACCACATCTGCCGTCTCACTTTGGAATTTCCCATCATGCATTTCAAGTGATACCCTCATGACAGCCTCACTGGTTCCCACCTTGGACCAGAGCTTCCTGAGCCCGTGGCCCCAGCCCCTTGGAGCAGCTCCAGTTAGCACAGGAGCCAGAAAGTGCCAGTTGGTTGACACCTTGCTTTTGTCTGAGATGAGTTTACTTTTTCCACCTACACTCAGAGGGAGCCCTTTCATTCTTTTCTTAGTAAGTCACCACCTTTTGCATCTTGGCAAGATGTAGATGGAGATTCAGTTGTTGGCTCAGATTCAAGGGGCCGTAATAGGCGTTAGCAGTGGGTGAATCTGAGCCCAGGAGAGGAACGGTTTTGCCAAAATGCCATGCATTCTTCGGGGTCTTCACGTCATTCTTTCACATCTGCACCATCTGTCTTGTGTGAGTAATGGATCTTATGACCTGAGATTGACGTTCTATGGCTAAGTGCTTGTGCTTCGCTTGTAGTAGCTCTTGTGAGGGTTGAATAGTAATTAAACAGGTATTTAGGAAAACCTGTATAAAAAGTTACCATGGACAGTTGAATGTATTAAGACCTTATCCTTAAATAGTCACCTTAATTTGTTAATGCATGTGTGTGAGTGTGTGTAAATAGTGTGGGTGTGGATAGTGTGGCGAGTGAACAGCTTTTAGTGGAAAGCTGTTGGGGTTCCAATTAATTACATTCTTTGTAAAGTAAGTTAGACAAGTATTTTCACAGTTCTTTACCTTGTTTAGTTCCAGTTGTCCTACCAGATTTTTTTTTTTATATTTACTACCTCAGAGACATGCTTGGTTTCTCTTAGAGAATTGAGAGAAGTAAGATGCCCTTTCTACTAACTGAATTACAGTGGGAACATCAGTTGAGTGAGAAAGGAAAGGAGGGAGTTAACGGTCTTTTGACCTTGGACGTTGGGTGCCAGCTAGGGTGGTCCTGACTGCTGAAAGGACACTGGTCATGCTGGCTGAGAACCATCCAGAACATCCATCCGTTCTTGAGGGGCACGAGGCCTAGAGAGAATCCCTACACAGCACTGGGAAGGCCGAGATGGAGAGGGAATGAGTGGTGGGGGAGGGGAGTGCAGGGAGGAAGGAAAAGGGAGGGTTTAAAGGGAATCTATCAGGTGTGAAGGGAGACTTCCTTTGTGAGTCTTTGAACATCAGAAGAGGCTGTGTTGGGAGGTTAGGAGTTGGAGGAACCACTGACCTGCCAGTGTTTGATTCAGGGCCTCGTTCTCAGCCAGCCGGGATGGGGGAGCTCCCAGATCCTTTCCTGAGGTGACGGTGTGGCTGGGTTAGTAGAAGGTGAAGGGGTTTGCATCTGCAGCCAGCTGAGATGAGACCAGGCTTGTCTCCAACCTTAGTGCACATGAGAATCAGTCCACGGGCTTGTACAGTTTGTCTGTGGCTGATTCAGTAGGTATAGGGCGGAGAAGGTGACATGCCCTGTTCAGGCACCACACAGAGAACAAATAGCTGGGTTTGATTCAGAATTCAATAGGCATTATCTGACAGCACTGTTGTACAACTGCTAATCTATATGGGATTCATTGTGGCACATTTAAAATTGACTAAGAAATTGGTTGCTTTTTTTCTTGAAACATAATCAGTTAGGATCCAAATTTGTAATTGGCCGGACACTCGGAAATTTGAGAATTGGAAACCCTTTTATCGGAACAAATTGCCAAAATAAATTTAAATTTAGGTACCTGATTGGAGGAAGCAAATTAATTTTGATAATGTCTCTAATAATGAATCAACTACCCAAATATTGACCTCAATTTGGATGAAACTGAACAGTAAAGTTTCCAGAAAACAGTAGTATTCTCAATAGCATGTTTATCTCATAGACATGGTAATTTTTGCCAGATGCTTCCACTTTGGGGGAGTGTTTTATCCAGTTTGTGTTCTGTGTTGGTTACTGAACTGTGCACAACTTTATTACTTTGCATATGGTTGTTGTATTGTAAGCATCCACTCCTGCATCATTTAAAATGGCCATAAACTGGCAATACCAATGAGGTAATGGGTGATGCTATTTTCTAGTGGCAAATTTCAATATGTATTTAATAGCTTGGCTGTAAATATCCTGGTGGCAATATTTGGTATTGATATTGGACTTTTGTAAATATGCTTCTAAATGGGAATAGTGTTACAATGGACTGTTCACTGTTAGTGGCAAACTTTGACATGTTGCCACTTTAGTCGGGGTTTCTCTGTACTGGGAGGTGCTGAGGAGTATGGATGTAGAGAGACTTTGCAGGGACTGAAGAAGGAACCCAGACTAGAAACAAAGAGACCTCTTCTGTGGCTTGGACCGAATACAAAGTGAGCAATCCTGTTGTTTTAGGAAAGTGTGACTTAGGAAGGGACTCCGATGGGAGCAGGGAGACCTCTCTTCTGTGGTTGGACTCAAATGAGCAATCATGGAGGGTTTTTAAAAATTGTGACATGAAGGACCTCAACCTTGAAACAAGGAGACCTCTCTTCTGTGGTTTGGACTCAGTACAATGAGCAATCGTGGAAGACTTAAAAAATGTGACCTATAAAGGAAAGGGACCTAAATGTGAAACAAGAAGACCTCTTTTCTGTGGTTTGGACTCAAATGAGCAATCATGGAAGACTCACAAAATTGTGACTTGTAAAAGGACCTAAATTTGAAACAAGGAGACCTCTTTTCTGTGGCTTGGACTGAAGATAGGGAGAAATCCCACAGGATTTTTTAAAAACTGATGATTTCTATGAGGATAAGTTATGGCAATGATACAAATTTTTTTATTTTTGTAGGATGGCAAAAATGTGTCGTATTTTTCTAATTATCTTTTGCTTAATGTGTAACTCTCTGGTGAGCATGACTGAATGGACTGGGTGTTTCTCAAACTAGTCAGTTAAGGTCCTAGTGAGGCCAAAGGAATATTTAAAATTTCCCATCCCCCTAAAATACGAATCACAATGAGGAAACTGAAAATCAAACACAACTCACTGAGCAATATTTTTGTCTTAGATCGCAACATGGTAAAGTTTGGTAAAATGTTTACATGAAAGAATGGATTGACTTTTCTGATTGTTTCATGGAGAGAAAAATATTAACTCATTGGCCTTAAAGTCAATACTCTTCTCGCTCCAAGACCTCATGTAATTAATTGGCATTTACTATGAATCTGGAGGATAGATTGTACGTCATATTGGGTATGTTGTCAGTTATTGGGTAAAATATATTCATAAAGAAATAAAAGAAAACGTAAGTTTTAGGAAAAATTTAGCTTCCACTTTAAATCTAAACTCTTTAATACAGTCCGGACATAACGGCATTTGATTGTGCCTCTGCTGCGTGCAGAGAATTGGGTGACACCATCTTAAATTCAACTTGCCTGTCCATCAGCCAGAGGGATACTAACATTTCAATTTGGCTTCTGTGGAAAGGAAAAGGGTTTTTGTAAAGTCATCCGTCTGTTTCAGTCTAGCTCACTAGAGAATAAAACTTACCTGTTTAAAAAAAAAAAAAAGCAGGTGAACATTTGAACGAATCTCTTGTGCAACCTCTTAGAGATCAAGAGTTCATTGTTATTGAGAGTATACAACTGTTTACTTATTAGTGGTAACCACGGACGTAGCCACATAAAATTATGTAAATACATGTATCATTGTTTAGCTTTTGTAATGTATATAGCATCTTCTACAACTTGCTGTTAAAGAGAACTCGTGGAGCAGTTGTTTTTAAAATGACAAGACCATGCCTGGATCACTCCAAGAAGATTCTGGCCAGTGACCATGTGAAGTCACTCCATGCCATCGTAAACATCACTTCAGAACCACTGCATGATACTTTGCCTGAATTTTAGAGAATTGTAGAAAGCTGCTGCCAACGAGGGGGTGACCAAGGGGCAGGCATTGAACTCAGTTGGGGCCTGAGAACAATGGACAAGGGTATCTTGCCAAAAGTAAGAACCTGCATAGCCAGGTGATTGCTGTTCAGGCTCCGTTAGATGGCTGCTCCGCACCTACCTTTCCAATCGGCAGTTTGACCTCTTTTAACTTTTTTAAACTTCCAGCCGTCGCCTTACTTCTGTCTTCAGATTCTCTCTGACATAATGAACCACATCGTGTTCCAACAGTATTATAAATAAGCAATAATCAGAAGGAGGGGAAAGATTCCATAGACTGGTATTTCCAGCATCTTTTGCCACTCTGAAAACCGGTCATCTTCCACTTGCCACCTCTGAAGATTTGGATTCTCAAAATCTGGGATGTTCGTTCACTCAAACCCCCTGGTCCCCCTAATAATCTCCAGAAGTTTTTACAGCAAGAAACAGTGTTACTGAAAGCCAGGATGATGTACAATGGATGAGCCAGAGATCCCAGCCTGAGGAACTGCCCTGCCTGAGCTAGGGACTCCTGTGGGCATCTCACCCTCATGCAAACTGAAGGGGTCTTTGGCCAGATCAAGAGCCATTCTCCCAACCTAATACGCATTGATGCCTGGGCCAAAAGCATATAGGGACAGCATCCTCATCCCGTATTCCTCCCCACAAAGGTATGTGAAGGACAACATCACGTAGACACAGCCAACCCCGCAGGAATCTGGAGAGGAAGGACACAGAGCACATTCTAATTGACCTAGAAGCTTTACCAGCCACAAAGACAAGAAACACAGATTGATACTGTTTTGACCATCGGTCTTACATTTCATTGGAGAAAATATTTTGTGATGGGGAGTCTCAACTCACCTTCAGAAGGTCTACCATTGAAAGCTGTGTATCTGAGACTCTTGTATAGATGCCTGATGCACAGGTCTCCAGTTTTCTCCAATTCACATTTTAAAAACAACTCAGAATCTAACCCTGCTAAGTACTTTATTGCCCACATAAAGCTGAACAATTGATGGACATTGGTATGGACAATGTTGTTAAAATGTAAATAGAAAATACTCAGTGACTGATGAATGTTAATGAACTGTTGTTGATGTGAGGAGACCAAGAGAATGAAATTCAACATATAATGGTTTCATTTTCTTGTTTTTATTCTTTGTTTACGTTAACTTCCTTGGAATATAAACTCAAGCACAGAGGCCTCCATTTGTAAACAAATCTGTTATTTTTGGATATTTTTGTAACGGTTGCTGTGATATTCAAGCTGGTTTCCTAGGGAAGTTTCTAATACATTTAGTAAAATTGTCTTCTGTATATAGAGTTTTTTAAAGCTATACACAATGCTGGACTCGTTGTTTGTGTGCTCAGGGATAGCAGGAAAGGAAATAGCAAGGCATTAGATATCCATGTGTATAAAAAAGCCAAATATAGTTGCTTTGCGCCATTTCCTAATGTATTGTAATTATTATAACAAGGAGTTTGGTTACGTGTATAGAAGTATTTTAATACATGATGATGAAAATAGAACTGTCAGAATACCTCTGAAAGATGTACATATTAAACCATTAGAATGGACGATTGCTGTGGGACTGGGGGAGGGAGGTTTTGTACACAGCTATCACAGACATGAAAGGCTGCTCTGTGGGTGTAGATATTCCTGTAAATGGTCTTTATTTTGAAATGTATATGTTGCTCTTTGCTTATTACCAAGTGTTATTGCTGTTTATATATATATATATTAGGACTGTTGCGCCATGTTACCAAAGCCATCTTACAGGGATGGCTTACCTCCATGCTCACACGTCTACCTTTAGTTTGTAAATTTTTCGTTTTGCCAGTTGCATTATTAAATGGCCTCATTATTAATTTATTTATGATAACATTTTGTTATAAACAATGTTATTAATGCCTAACATGCAATTTTCAACATGTATATATGTCATTGTAAATTTGTTATAAATATGATCAACTTAATGGGATAGAAGCATTTTTGTTTACCAAAGAGATGTTAGATGTAGCCTCTCTGTGTTCCCTGCATCATTAGGCTCCATTTTCATGTTGTCCTCGGGGTGAGCATAGTGTAATGATCTCTGTTTCATTACATCATCATGCTGGAAATTTCATTGCAACTGTAGGTCTGCTTTCATTGATGGTTTTCAGACATTTATATACAAATAGGACGGGTTTTTTTTTTTTGCATAACTTGGAGAAATCTCTACAAGTGGTATAAAACAGCATAGTTTAGAAAAGTTCATTTGCTGGTGGAAATTGACATAATAGTGAATTGTTTTTAGAACTTATTTCTAGTTGTATAGGTGATTTATGTTTGATGTGGGACGTTAGCAATGGAATATATTAAACCCAAGTTCATTATATGTGGGCTGACAAAAGAATGTGTTTGTATTATATGTATATAGTATACAGTTACACGTTTTTTAAAGCAATAGGAAGTTTTATATTTGCATGTCTTGTTTTTAGATTATTGTATATATCTTTTTGCTTTAAACTTTTAGTTCTTTAAATATAATGATTGTTTACATATTCATATGTGTGTATACATATACACATATATACATGTACATATGTGTATATTAGTGTACAGAACTTTTTTAAAGTCATAGGACAAACAATGGAAGATACTGTGACGCTGCTAGCTATATGGTGGACAAATGTTTTGTTTTATAACATCTGCATTGATAGACACACGTGACTTCTGTTTTGGCAATTAAATTGCTATACTATGTCTAGTCGACATGTATTGTTGGGGGGGGTTATTGCCTTTGTGTTGTATTTTTTTTTTAGTAGGTATTCTTTGTTAAGGTGTAGAAATCATTGTCATTAATGTGTAAATGTGTGTTTTTTTTTCTACCAATCTAGTTTTTGAATGTTAAGTTCTGGAGCCGAGCAGGGAGGTATCTGACTGCTGTATGTATAATAGACAAGTTCCTTACCACATCTTCACTCCTAGGTTTGTAGAAATACCCTGTTTCCACGTGCCCCCGCGCGCGCACACACACGCACACACACAGTACATATGTTAATGTTGAACTAGGGTTAAAAAATGTTTGTTACCAATAGAAGTGTTACTTCACCCCCTAGTGTTGGATATCACTTGGGGTGAATGGGGGTGATTAATCTGACCAGATCTTTGTTTTTCTACCATATACTCTTGTACATGTGCCGAGATTTGTCATTTTAAAAACTTTAAATCTATTTCACCTGAAATTATAGCACATATGCTTTTTTTTGCTTGTTGAAATGGTTCACCAGTCCTGCCTATTTTAATCTTCAAACAGTATTTATCTTTAAAACGCCTGTTCATTGCTGATATACTTTCTAATATCACAACCTATTTGTATAATTAGACTTTTTTTTCTGAATGTTGAACAGGGGTAGTGGATGTTTCTGAACTCATCTCTAATACTCTCTTCATGTCTTTCTGGTTTATGTCTATGACATGGACTCTGTCTATTGCATTGCATGTAGACCACCCACAGTCAAATCCTCTCCCATCACCATCGATTTGGCCCCCATTTTCCTCGACTACCTCTCCACCCACTTCCCAACAACATGGATGGACCTTGAGAATAGGATGCTAAGTGAAATAAGTGGAAAGTATTTTTACCTCACATTTTTATTTAGATGTAAAAGTAGATAGTAACCATGAAATTGTCATTTTATAGAAAAATACCTCAATTTAAGGGCCATGTTGTTATATATTATTTTCCCAGATGTACTGAGGTTCAGGATGGAATTCTTTTTTCTAAAGAACATTTACAGAATCTCTAAGTATATAATCCTGTAAATATTTTATTGTATATTTGTTCCTACCATTGTCTTTCAATAATAACACGGCAATAAAATTAAATGTACAAGATAATTCATTTCCCCCAACATGGAAGAATAGTCTGGCCATCCTAACAAGTATAAATTTAAAACTTAAGATACAGTGTGAATTTGGTGTTTTTTGGATGTGCCAAATTTCCCAATATGTTCCTATTTTTTTATTAAGATTTTTTTTGGAAAGGTGTTTAAAATTCATAGCAAATTGAGGGGAAGGTACAAAGATTTCCCATATACCTCAGTCCCCCACACACATGCAATAATCAACCCAACACATAGGGTAATCTCATGCCTTTTACATCCATAAGGTGACTTTGACATTGACATATATCTATCTTGATATTTGGGTTATTTTCTTACCCTAAATCCTCTGTACTCTGCCTACTCATTCTTCTGTGTTTTTCTCTCTCTCTTTAACATTGAAGGTATTAGTTGCTTCGTTGAACGGATTTTATACTACCTCTTGGAACTATACATAGTTGTGTATGTGTTCCCTTGGTCGCATGACAGTATTCAAGACAACTTTGTAAATAACAGGCAGATACACTTTAATTTCTAACATCTAGTCTTTCCAGATGTATATATTCTCTCAATGTATACTCTTGTAAATAATTCATTGTACAATTCCATGCTTTTATATTCTTGGGTTGTGTGGTGGTTGCTTAGGCTATGTATATATCCTTGCTCTGTGGATTTGCTAGGGGGCGGGTAAAAGGGAGTGGCCCTACACTTTTTGAAATAAGGCATTGTTTAGTGTTTATTCTACATCAAAGACCTCAGTCCTCACTTTGTGGTTGTGTAGCTGATAGGGCATTATGTATTTTAATCATGGGAAATGTATTTTATAGGAATTACACAGCCACAGTCAGGACAATTTTGTAAATAGCAGGCATATATATATAAATACACATCATTTTAAACATCTAGTTTTTCTAGATGCACAGGGAGATTCGCAAAATTTTGTAAATACTTCATTGCAAACTAGCGTAAGTTGGCTTCTGGTATGTTTTGGCAATGTAATAGGTGGTTAGTGAATATCTGCTTCCTAGGCTGTGCTAGCATTCTGGTGTTCAGTGAGTTCCTGGGAGAGGAATCCCAAGATGGCCTACATATCTTCATCTTATTAGGCTCTCATGTGTAAGGAAAGGCTACACCGGGTATGGATAACGGCAGTGACAAACCAGACTTGTATTGTGAAGCTTCAGGGAGAAAGATATGTGACAAGAACTGTCCCTTTGTCACATTCAGATATTCTCAGTGATGTGATCAAACATGGCAGCAACGCACATTGCTAAAGGAATTGCTATGTTGCTAGGCTAGATAAATATTAACACATATGTAACATTAGTTTTAGGGTTTTGGTCTGATAATGCTTTTTTTCTCATTTATTAGCTTCTTGATTTTCATTTTGCTATGAAAGTTATTGTATTCTTACACTTATGAAAGCCAGCCTCATGTTACATGTAAATGTGTTAATTTTGTATGAGATAATTAAGCAACTCTCTATCAATGTTTTCATCTATATGCATCTGTATGAGAGAATTTCACTAGTTATGAATATTTTAATTCTCTGAGACCTTTTTAAAATTTTTTCTGGTGAATTGTTACATTTGAATGTCATGATTAATGTTGAAAGTGTATTGTATCTCAGTTGCCTGTAATGTACATTATGAAAGTTTCTTAGAAAGGTGGTCCAATCCAGTATTGATTAAAGTATAGATCATCTCTGAACAGCAGTTTGGCAATGACAATCAAAATTGAATGCGTAAAAGTGACTGCTGTGATTTTATCTGTTCCAAATCAAATTTACAAAGTTGAAGGTACATTATAAATTGAAAGAAACATTGAACAACTGAAATACACATTAGTGAAAAATATTGTAATGATTATAGCTTACTTAAATGAATATGATCTAACCACTGATAAAACATTCTTATGTGGATGTGTGTTTTAAATTGATACTTAAAATTGTCATTTTTGAACAAAGATCAACAAATGTATATTGACAAGAGGTGTGTCCATGTGCCTCTAGTTCATATACCAGAAAAGGTAAGGGCAATGATTCACCATCAGTGTCACTATCCCGGTGATGGCTTCGACACATTTTGGAATTTTTGTGCATGTGCTAGTTAAACAATAAGGCATTGCTCATCCATGTATTTGTATGTTGCTACATGACAATCTAAAGTGACTGAGTATGGAAGAGAAAGTTGTCTGGACGACTATGGCAAAATCTCAGTGTACAAACATGTGAATGGAAGGACTGCTTCTACTTTGGATTCAAATTTTTTAAAGGTATTTCAAAAGGAACATTTCAACAACAGGAATTTTAAAGGCACAGCTAATTTGTGCCTGTCGTCCATCTTGCCTATCAACATCTTGGGCATGTGTGTCTGTGGGTCCGGCCTTGTATTGCCATTGGGCCTGATTAATGCTTTTAAGAGATCAAGACAGCATGAGACTTAAAGACTAATGCAGCACAGAGCTGTACCATGTGAGGAGGAGGAAGGAGGAGAATCGATTACCCAAGGAGAGAAGAAGGGAGACGACGAGACTGCAGGTATGTGTTGACCGGGCAAGAGTATTCGTTGCAACTATTGAAAGGGTGGGAGTAATTAGAGATTGGACTATTTTTTTTTTATTGTAGTTGAGTGTCAGAAGGATTTCAAGTAGGCCTTTATGAATTTACATTCAGAATTTGCAGAAGAGCATTCAATATTCTCTATTTGTGCTAAAAGGGCTTGGGAGAGGTGAGAGAGTGAAGAATAGTTAGTCTGTTCAGTCATATATGTTGGTTAGCCCCATTCAACATCCCTGACCATCACAAATTTATTCTACTTTGTGTCCTGCTATCTAATTTGTATCTAAACTTGGCTCTGTTGTCCACTTTGCAGGAGTGAAAAGGAGGAAAGGAAAGTGAATTTGTGACAAGTGAGGACAACCAACATCAGGAGCCTTTGTCTTTCAATGGATCACCTTGTTCCCTGAGGCTCAACTGAACCACCGGTAAGAGGTTCTGGGACAAGAAGTGCTGTTTTAGGGTGAGGCTCTAACTGGGCTTAGAAAAACCTTGGGCACCTGGGGATTTCCAGCCCTGCTGAGAATTTGGGAGCAAATAGCTCAAAAAGGTCATGTTCCCGAAGAGGAGGTGTGCGCCTTGGCTTACAGTGTTTTTCTCCCCTCAGGAGATGATGGTTCCCGAGGATGGCACCACCGCCTCGAGTCCTCACGCAGTGTGCCCCACTTCCATCCCTGGCCCAGGAGCGTCCCGGAGACATGCATGTAAGACACACTGTGGATCACAGTTTGAACTGCTCTGTGATGCGATGCCACTGAGTTTCTAACCTGTTCTCCTGTCCTCCCGTGGCCCCAGGGGATGCCGGAACAGACTTGCTTCTGCCACCATCTGAAACGCCCGCCAGCCAGGCTCCAGAGCGGCCCAGAGGTGCCTCTTGGGCGTGGCCATGGACACTCCCTGCCAGCCTGACAGGAGTGAGCCCTCGTGTCCAACGTGACCCAGCGGGTGATGGCGAGAACTGTAAGCAGCATGTTGACTGTTGTCCTTGTTGCTGTGGGACTGGCACCAGGAGATGGCAAGCTGGAGACCTTAATCCCGAAGCCCTGGACGTGCCGTTGCGAGGCCTCCTCCAGGGCTCCCATATATTTCTATTTTACTTATAATCATAGCGTAGATTTAAAATGTATTCATTAAAAATAGTCTTTTATTTTAGATTTTAGGCAACATAGAAATTTGTTAAGTATGTAGCTATTACTTCATGTACCTTTGTTTCCCTTTTAATTTTACCCTGCCCCATGTCATCTAATGTCTTTTTATTTTTGAATTAGATTACATTCAATATTACTTTGTATTAGTTTCAGGTATACTCAAAAGTAAAGTGTCCCCTCAATGTTTCGGGTACCCACCAGGCCCCATATATACGGATCACAGTACAAACCGACTGTACTCCCTACGCTATCATCTACTAATAGAGTTAGTGCGCACCCTTGTGGTGCTGCTCAGACATTGTAGACAAGTAGTGTTTTAGGCGCTTACACTGGCCACACATCTTCTCTGCATTAAACATGCTTTTATATTATTCCTTTTGAATTTATTCAACTAACTTGTTGAAAAAAATTCCAACGAATTGGAATTACTCTGGCTAAAAATACTCAATTTATATATAGACTCAGAAATTAGCTTTCCCCTCATTCTAATCTAGGTCCTTCTCTTTATTCTGCCTCCCCCTGTTTGAGACTTCAAACTGCACAACACTGTTCAAAGCTGTAGACTATTAGGTGTCATTGTCTTTATTCTGCTCACTGACACTGCAGAGAAGTTATTCTTCATCACTGCTCCGCAAAATCATATATGCTCACTGCTTAATCATCACTTGTACTTTTTCATTTCATTTTTCCAGCTTCCTTGCATTATTATAGTGTCACTGGATTTTAAGAGCTTGTTTATAACTAAAGATGTTAACCATTTCTCATGCATTGCAAATGATATACCATGTTTTTTGTTACTATTTTACTCTGCTGTTTTACTTTTTGGTTGTATCAAACTTGTGCATTAAATATAATCATATTCTGTTTTATGCCTTTTGTGTTGGTGTTTTTCTTTTTAAAAACATGTTTACAATAGGATCATACATTTTTGTCTGTATTTCCTTCTACTTTTCATCACTTTTGTCATTTTATTTCTTTTTACACGAATCATTGCGACAATTTTAAAGCATTACATGCTGACATTATGCACCTTGACCTAAACAGTTAACCTCTGATTTTAAATTCTCTATCGTTGAAATCCAAAAATTCAATCTGTTGACTCCATGTTTCTGACTTTCTATTGATGCTTCAAAATTACTGATGCCTGTATTCTTATCTAGTCTATTGAGTTCTATCTCATTTCTTTTCTTTTTCAGAATATGCCCTGTCTATACTCGCACTTTTTCTGTCACTTGATGCTTAAAATTATTTTGCAAGTTGGGGAAACATTCAGTTTTATTTCATTTGCACCAAACTAATTAGATTAACTAGGAGACAGTATCTTTTAAGTGAGACTTCCTATACAACTACAGGTATGTCTTTCAATTTTTAATCAATTTGATACGTTGGCATACTGCTGTTGTAGATTTTATTGTTGCCCATTTCATATAGTTATTTTCTTACTTTATACAAAAGCCATTTGTGTATACTGGTGGCATGTCATTAATTCCAAAATTAGTGTATTTTTAAAGTATGTATGGGATTTTCAAAAATACATCCCAAATAGAATCTGCACGTGCACTTACATTTTCCCATCTCCCATCCAAGAAATAACATCCAAGACCTAGTTTTGTATATTATATATTACTCTTTAGGGATGCCCATCTTTCAAGCTTAATCATCAAGCAACCTGCTGAAAAGTAGAAATTAGTGATATCAAGTATCACAGAGATGATCCCAGTACCACCTATAGCAGTGATGGCGAACCTTTTGAGCTCGGCATGTCAGCATTTTAAAAACCCTAACTAAACTCTGGTGCCATGTCACATAGAGAAATTTTTTGATATTTGCAACCATAGTTAAACAGATTTATATTTTTGATATTTATTTTATATATTTAAATGCCATTTAACAAAGAAAAATCAACCAAAAAAATGACTTCGCGTGTCACCTCTGACACGTGTCATAGGTTCGCCATCACTGACCTATAATATACTGTGTTATGTGTTCAAATCAGCCCGTGAATCAAGCGTTCCATTCCATTTTGTGTGTTAATTTATCTTTGACTTTGCAAACGTCCTTGGGTTTTTTTTTTCCTTGATTTTTGTGGAGGAAATCAGGCCATTGGCCCTGTAAAAACTACATGTCTACCTCTAGATGGCATCCCGGTGGCCATTCTCCGTGGTAGTTTTAAATGCTTTACTGGACTGGTTAATTCTTTCACCATTGGTTATAGGAATATCATAGGAATACATCATTGTCGTTTATTATAAGGTCATTCCTGTATCACACTGTGTTCTGTATCAGCCTTTCACTTATGAAAGGTTTCATTTAAAAAATCATATAGCATCTTCATTATTCCCTCTAAATAAGAGTAAAATTTATTCATGATTAATTTCAACTATCAAAAGTATAAATTTAAAAGGATATATAGGATGAATGCTTCCCCATTATTAGCTATAGGATATTGGATTTGGTATTAGTGTCCCAAAGGGATTTTGTTAATATAATGCAGTTAAAAAATTAACAGGATAAATTTATGAGGTTCACTTAAATAGCTTGTAGCATAAAATTAATTTTAATCCCATTTAGATGTAAATAAAGCAAATAGTATTTGGTTTTTATTTACCTTTTATCTACCTAAATGTCAAATAATAGGATTAGGGCTGTCAACATTGAATTCCTAGCTCATGAATGTGGCCACTCTTTGATTTATATCTTTATAATATCTTTCTGAGGGGAGTAAAAGTAGTTATCAGTCTCAAAAAAATACATTCAAAGAGTTACGAGGTATTAAGTGATTTACTTACACACAAACAGCTAAAAAAAAGGGCCTGGCATAGCTGACCACAGTGCCTTTTTCTGGCCTTGGTAAAACTTGGGGAATTCCTCCAATACTGTGAGCAGGTTATTGAGGTAGGACATAAGACTTGTATAGAGTAGGAGTGGAAGAGGTGTTGGCTACAGATGCCAAATGTTAAAAAATAGTAAATGATGTAATACTTTACAAAACCCAGAAGTGGATGATTGCATGAGAAAATAAAGACCAAGTTATCTGCAATCATGGTGGCGGAGAGGATAGACAAATCAGGAAAGATAAATTTAATATATAGTCAAGGTACAATGAACTCGGCTCTCAGATTTTCAGTAATTTTAGGTGTTTGATGGCTTGAGCCCACAAAATCGTGATGGTGCGAGTGTAACACCTAAAGCTTGTATGCATAGGAATTTAGTATCCAGGGAGTTAATCTGCAGTAAATTCAGAGGACATCTTGTCATGTGCAGCCATAAAAAGAATTGATGAGTATAATTGTGAAGTTTGAAGGTATGAATGGAAATAGTGGTGCACTGGGACATAGGAAGTGAAGGGAGCAAAGTGGCATTTATGGTGCTTTTATCACAAACCTAGGATTACTGTGATGTCCTCAGTGCTGGCAGAGATAGGAGTATAGGGCTTGGAACAGTTCTGTGAAATACGAGGGAATTAGTTGTGGATTGAATGTGTGATGATTATGGGATCAGAAATAGAAGGGAGGGATTTAACCAGGTGTTCAAGGTACTGGCTATTGAAAATTTGCCTAATTAAAAAATTACCTTTTGGGGGGATACGGGATACACTGTCTCCATCAGGTTTTGACAATTCCTAAAACTAATTCAGAGCTCCTCTATGCTTTTATTTTCCCTCCATGATTTTTGGTAGCTCTTTTTAGGGTGATATAAAAATATATATATTGTAACTCATAAGGGAGATGTGGGAGATTCCATGTAATTTTACAGTCAGATGTCAAGAAGGTCATTGAAGTTAGCTCAATAGCCAGGCTGAAAAATTTTATGGAAAGTCTGATTGGCTACAAGGCTAGAAAACGGATGCACTATTGGGTGGATGTAAGAATGGATGAAACTATACCTCGGGGGGGCCATTGGGTGCGAAGCTAAAGAATGAATGTTTTGAAAAGCAATGGGTGGCATGGATTAATGTGCGGATTGAGAGGTTCAATATGAAGTGAAGGTGGAGATGGTTAGTGGCGTGTGAAGAGGATGTTGAATGCGTGAATCTTGTCTACATATGGATTTTTATGTGTTTGATGGCTAGATGGCTGGGTATTCATGGGTGAACATGAGAATCAGTGCACAGGTGATCTAATTACATGAGTGAGCATCATGGATGGTTTCAGGTTGTCTGACAGGTGGTTTGATGAGTAGATTGATTTATGGATGGTATAAGAATTTCATCATTGAGAATAGACACAGTAAAGTCACATATAAAGTTGAATGTGAAGTGGATGGGCTAATGAGGCATACCAGCTAGTTTTTTATTTATAAAATACATTAAGACATGAGGTTCTCAAAATACTGTGATAATAACAAAAAAGAAATCAAAACGCTCCTTAGCAAGATCACAAGAATAGTTTTTCTCTTAAATGGTTTTTTTTTTAAATTTAATAATGTGAGCACTTCTAGGAGGAGGATCCAAGACTGAACTTGACCTTGCGTTTTATGTTGGTGTCTGCATATATCACATTTTCCCATATCTTCCACAGTTATAACTGAGGTGTTCCCAGTGTAAGAAGTGAGACATCTTAGATGCTGACATTTCTAGATCAATCCAAATTGTAGTTCTTATTGATCAGTTCTGTGGATTTGATCTTCGAAAATGCTGGTAAGAATCAGTATCGGTGGTGTGCTGTGTCTGTGATGTCCAGTGTGATGTGGAAACCCAGTGTTTTGTTTGCAGTCGTTTAAAACCTAGAAGCGTCCGTGAATTCCGTAAAGCATAGGCTTGTCAAATTGTAGAGTGCTTGCCAATCAGATACCCTAGAACCGTGATCGGCAAACTGGCTCTCCAGCCACAGCTCTTTGGCCCCTTGAGTGTGGCTCTTCCACAAAATACCACGTGCAGGCACGCACGTACAGTGCAATTGAAACTTTGTGGCCCATGCGCAGAAGTCGGTTTTCGGCCTTGGCGAGTCTCTTTTGAAGAAGTACTGTTGGTATTTGGCTCTGTTGACTAATGAGTTTGCCGACCACTGCCCTAGAAGGTATAAAAAGCCTCTTATACCTCCTCACCATACCTCTGTATGCTCAGTCAATGTTAAATTCATTCAGATGTTAAGATGTTTGGGGATAAACCCATGAATGGTGGATGGGTCGAGGAAGAGAAGGAAGGGTATCAGGCAGGTGGGGGAGGGGAAAGGTCAAAGGGGGTTGTAAAAAGATAACCAGAAAGCAAATCGACGAGGAAGTGGCATTAGATGCAATTCGTATGGGCCGTAGTGACAGAAGTTGAGTTTTATTTCTCGGCGCATGAGTTAAGCTATGGCTAGTATTAGCGGGTAGGCAGACGTGGAGGAATGTTCCAGAATATCGCCTTGGTGGGAGTTGGTTCTGACCCTTTCGTTTGATGAGTGCATGACGATTGTTCAAATATTGTGAAGCATTCCTTTTTTTTTTTTTTTTTGTCTCACAAGCATCTTCCATAAGCAAGGACCAAAGAGATTTTGACTGCAGGTAAGAGCATTAAGACTTAATATTCTCATGTTGAGATACCCTCTTGGGCGTATTGGTGTTGGGTTCGGTTCTTTTCTGAGTTATTTGACACTACATTTGTGTTTTCCTCCAACCTATTATCTGGCCTCTGTGATTATGTTGAGGTTATAGTCTAACCCCGGGTTCTAGTTAGTAAAGAAGACTGAATAAGACTACAAATCAAAATACAGACTTTTTTTTTTTTCAAGTGAAAACCATCAGAAATTGTACAAGAGGCATTCAGGAAAGCAGGGATGTGGGTATTGCCCTAATGGGGTTAGATTTTTTTGAAAGCTTTCCATGAAATGTTAAATATAATTTGCAGTGGATGTTATTAATATTTCCTTGGTACAATGGTACATCATCATTCTTTAGAAATATTTTTTACCGATATCAGAGAGAAAGGGAGAGGGCAGAGAGATAGAAACATGAATAGGTCTCCTGCACGCCCCCTACTGGGGATTGAGCCCACAAACTGGGCATGTGCCCTGACTGAGAATCGAACTGTCACCTCCTGGTTCATGGGGCGAAGCTCAACCACTGAGCCACATACACCAGCCAGGCTGTCTCATCATCATTTTTTAATTTTATTTTTTATTGATTTCAGGGAGGAAGGGAGAGGAAGAGAGAGAGAGAGAAACATCAATGATGAGAATCATTGATCAGCTGCCTCCTGCAGGCCCTCTGCTGGGGATCGAGCCTGCAAACTCAGGCATGTGACATGACGGGAATCAAACAGTGATCTGGTTCATGGGTTGACATCCAACCACTGAAGCATGCCAGCTGGGCCATTTTATGTCTAATGCTAAATTGAAATACAAATTATGAAGAAGTAACACAGGAAATGGCAGTTTCAGCAATGCATTTGTGGTTGGATGACCTGAAAATAATCAGGAACAGAAGGTGGGTACTCAAGTCATAGTCAAGGGGGGGTGAAGAGCAAAAAAAACCATGGTTTCATCATTTTTGTGCATGGAAGCAAACTAAGTTTTGTAGCTTGGAGATACTTAGCATCAGCTCCTGGGTGTAGTTTTCCAGGGACTAGCAGTAATATCCTGATTGCCAGATGACCTCCCTGTGGTAGGAGGCATGGTCAGCTATATATATAAAAGCCTAAGCCACTGTTCGACAGGTCGCTATAACATGTACTGACCACTGGGGGGGGGCAGATGCTCAGCGCACAGGCATGGAAACATGGAACAGACTGATGAATCTCAGGGGGGAGAGGGGAGGGCGGGAAGAGATTGACCAAAGATCTTACATGCATACTAGAGGCCCGGTGCATAGATTCGTGCACCATTGGGGTTCCTTGGCCTGGCCTGCTGGGATCCGGCTCTCCGACATCCCCCGAGGGTTCCCGAATTGCGAGAGGGCGCAGGCCAGGCTGAGGGACTCCAATGGTGCACGAATCCATGCACTGGGCCTCTAGTATGAGATAAACCTGTTTGTTTTCATTCGCGATATCTCCCTCTGTCCTCTCCCAGGTGGTGGACATGTGGACAACAGGACCCTAGGCACCTTCTGAAGTGATCCCATCCCCAGCATCGCCCAGATGCTGTCTCGTTTCCCCCTCTGAGAAGCTTGCTGCGTCTCTGTTTCTCAAAAGGGCACGGCTTTCCTAGAACTGACCTGCTTGCTGGCAAGTAATTGCCTGGACTGTGACGTGCTTCTCTGTGCTCTGAATATATGTCATGTGATTTCTTCTATTGTCTTCTTGACCCTGTTGCATTTTGGGGGGTGGGGGGTGGAAAAATCCGTGTTTTACTTCACAAATGGGAGTGAGCGATGGGGGTGGGAAATGTGATTGTGTAACCCATAGACACCACCTTGGTGACCCCCCACCCCCACCCCACGATAGTCAGGCTTTCTCATAAGCTACCTGTCTCCCATGGGCCATTTTGGTATTCTCTGTTCTGAATTGGAGCCCACTGTTTTTTGTGTTTTGTGGGGGTTTTTTTAGAGGTGGCCCAAACGAGATCCCCTTAATATTTGTGTTCCCACGATAAGCGATTGATTGTTTTCCCTGTTTAGTGAGCCTTCTACATTGCATTTGAGACCAGGAGTTGGCCTTGATCAACTCTTCCCCAGTGCCCCACCCATAGACCTGAGTGCCACCACCACTTCGGTTATGTTAAGGGAGAGCCAAGACCATTGCCCTGGCATTTTGAACCGTGGTGATACCATCTTGTAGATTACCGGTTCCTTGGTATCCCTGGAATTGTCTTCTTTGGGGTCCACATGAACACCACAAGGTACCGAAGTGATTTCAAGGTCAAATCTCCATGGCCCTTCATTTTCATGGGTTGTCCGTGTCACCTCCATGGGTGGAATGGAGATGGCGGAGTTTATTGTCTGTTTTCATTGTCTTGTTCCTGGAACATAAACTCCTCCATCTCGAGGGAACACCTAACTCCAACGCCCAACTTATCTCAGTAACAGCTTTACGCCTCGTTCATTGAAATGGGGCAGCCAAGAATGAATGGGTTAAAAAAAAAAAAGAACGAATGGGTTATTACCCAATTTAAAGTCGCCTGTGGTCATTCGTTGTCCACCTTCTATTTCTAGTTCCTAGGGGTGGACAGTAGTTAACCATTTGTGGCATAGTGGTCAAGTAACTGCTCTCGGCTTATCTAAGTTTATGTTGGGTTTATTTCACAAATACGCCATTGTGTGATGGTCTATGTTTGGCCACTTTTATGTTTTTTAAGTATATTGTGGACATATTCTCAAACTGATAAATCTCCTTTCCCTATGGACATTTTATTGGATGTAGTACATATCACAATGGGTTCATCCATTTCTCTGCTTTGGGACACATCGGTTACCTGTGTTTCTTTGTTTTTTGCCGCTGCATATAATGTTGTAATGTATATAATTATAGATCTATATTAATGCGCTCGTGCTCCTAATTCTCTTAGAACAGACTTCTAGATGTGACATTGTTGGACCCTTAGTTCTGCATGCTTTTGATTTCGGTAGATATTGTGAAATTGCCCTTGAAATTTTTCCCAGGCCTGCACACAGCTGTGGTGCGATGGCCGTGCTGATTTTCATACGGACGTGGACATAATGGGTATTATCGATAATTAGCCAATCTGATAGGTGAAAAATATTAAGCCCACTTTTTAAACAGTAAATGGCCCTAGAGAAAATAGACCCCATAGTGATAGGTGATTTATTAACCAACTAACAAACAATAAGCCCATCTTTTTCCTCTAGTCCCAAGACTCATCCTGGTTGTCAGAGGTAAAATGCATTACCCTTTTCAAAATACGATGCTGCTTGCAAGTTCATGAACTTCCTACGTATACCTTATGCCAGTGTTGATTTCTTTGACTTTTTAGTTTGGAAATCTAGATTTAGAGTTTCAGGAATCATACAAAGAACCACCCCCATAGACGCTTCACCTCGGTGTTTTCTACCGTGTTGTGTTCTCTTTCTCTTACTTTCCCTCCAACTTACATATCTATATATATTTTTTAATCCTCACCCGAGGATATTTTCCCATTGATTTTTAGAGAGAGTGGAAGAAAGGCAAAGACAGAGAGAAATATCGATGTGAGAGAAACACATCAATTGGTTGCCTCCTGCACGCGCCCCAACCAGGGCCCGGGCCGGGGAGAAGCCTGCAATCACAGTATGTACTCTTGACCGGAATCGAACCCGGGACCCTTCCATCCACAGGCCGACGCTCTATCCACTGAGCCAAACTGGCTAGGGCCGAACCTATTTTCTAGCATGCTCTTTTTACGTGCATTCTCTCCCTAGAAAACACTTCTCTGTTTCAGGCACTCCTCTATTTTTAGAATTACCTTATAAGAGTAGAGGTGCGATGGTAACCCAATAAGGCATTCTGTTGCAAAAATACAGTCACTGCTCATGGTTTTCCATCACGAGAAGGGACAAAATCATACAACCGATGTGGCTAACTTCAGTGAGACCCACCCCGTGCCCCCAGAATACAAGTGATATTACTATTTTCAAACTCTCCAATGTTTAAGAATTCTCCCTTTGTGTATCTGTAGTCTAAGGATGATGGGTGTTCCCCAAAGGGATGGTAGTTCTATTCGTCTATAAGAACCCGCTTCTGTCTTAGTATTGATCATCCGTGAAGACCCGTCTACTGATGAGTGGTAGATGGGAGAGCATACACTTTTAGGACAAGGAGTTGGGATTGTACGTGAGCCTGTCCCATCTTGCTCAGGTTCGGGACATCGAGAGGAGCAGGAAGACTTGTTATGGAGATGGAGGGAGTGGTTAAAAATGACCCTAATCAGCAAGGGGACTTCAGTGAATAGGTGATGGGCCTCCCTCTTGCTTTCCTTCTGCCTCTTCATCCATTCATTTAGGACTTCTTCTTCTGACTTGATCACCTTTAAAAAAAAAATTACCACTGCTGGTTCTATGTGGAGTAGGGATAGGTTCAACCAAAGCCTTGTAAAGAAAAAAATAGTGACTCATGGTTATCGTCATTCATCAAGACTCTAGGTCAGTGGTACCCAACCTTTCTTTGGCCACGCCCCACCTAAGCATCTCTAAAATCCCGATCCCCCCCCCCCATGACATAGAATTCTTCTTATTCAAAAAGTGAACTCTTATTCACATGGAGGAAACCTAAAAGGCCATGAACTTGGTCTTAAACAAACTTCCAAAGAACATGGCATCCATGAAAGAGAAAAATAAAGGAATGAAAGGACAGTGGACATACTGAGGGAACACTAAGGAATTGTTTAAAAAAAATACGTGATATGACAAAATAGCAAATAAAGTTTCAAACCACATCATTGAGAACTGAGATGCATAAATATGTCACCATGTGTATTTAAAGACTGTCTATGAGGCCCCTAGAACTATGAGAAATGCAAAACATTCACTGTTAATAACTCATTCTCGAATTGCCCCCCTTAAAAAATCACATTTCCCTTCAGTGGGGGGTGTGCCCAACACTGGGAACCACTTCATTCATTTGTAAGACTCAACGACATTCCCACCCACACCCCATTCTCTTAGCGGAGAGAGGGCCGATGTGCCGTGAGCATCAGAATGGATCGATTTGGGATGAGACCCTTGTTGATGGGCACTGAGATCATAAGTGTCTCAGGAGGGTCACTTCAGGATCAGTGTGAGGAGCTGACGCAGTGGGGGGCCGAGGCTTCGTCTGCCCACATCCATGTTGTCTTTCTATCCTTATCACTCATACACTTCCCCATTTTGATTCTCCTTTTTTCCCCGTGGTGGTGTGTTCTGCCTCCTTTTCCCAAAATATATACCTAAGAGCTCCTAGTTGACAGGGACATTTTTCCCCCATTGTCATATTTGATGCTGGAATGTCAGAAAATAAGCATTTCGTGACCATTGGTTCAAAGAAAAATCTGTGTAGGAGTGAATGAGAGGGGTCAAAAGTAATCAGAGACTACATAGCAATAAAGAAGCAATATTATCATCCGCATAGATCCATGAGGTGTTTTTTTTTTTATTGGCTTGACTTTTTAAAACATATATGTACATATATTTCATACGTAAGTGATACCAGGCTGTGTTTGTCCCCCTTCTGTCCGGCTTATTTCACTTAACACAATGCCCTCAGCCGTTTCATCTTCTCCCCCAATGAATTCCTTCCTTTTCCTATGCCTTGGCTATTGTAAATAATGTGTATATGAACGTAGTGTATAGATAACTCTTGGAGATCCCTGTCCTGTGGCTGTCCGCCCAGGGTGTCTGCTGCATGATACGGTCGTTCTATTTTAATCTCTTGAGGAATCTTCGTGTTGTTTTCCACAGTGGTCGTGCCCTCGTACCCATGTATATTCCCACCCGTTGTGTACAAGGGTTTTCTCTACATACTCGTCAGTATGTATCTCCTGACTTTCTGATAATAAACATCCTAAGGGTGACATGGTACCTCATTGTGCCCTTGAATTGTCCTCTCGATCAATGATGTGGAGCCACTTTTTTAAGTCCCTGGGGGCCATACTTATGTCTTGGGGGGGGAAACGTGTCTGCTTAGGTCCTTGGTCCTTGTCCCTATTTAAATCCGGGTCTGGTTTTTTTTGTTTGTTTTTTTGTTTGTTTTGCCTATCGAGTTGAGTTCCTTGCATATGTTGGTTATGAATCCTTTATCAGATTTGTGGTTAACAAAATTACTTCCTTCCATTCTGTAGGTTGCCTTTCCCATGTGGTTATGGTCTCCTTTTCTGAGCAGATGTTTTTTAGTTTGATAAGTGTCTCACTTGTTTCGTTTTTTTGGGGTTTTTTTTTTGTTTTGTTTTTGCTTTTGGTGTCAAATCCGAAAGATGATTGCTGAGATCAATGTCAGGGAATGTGCTCCCTGTTTTTTTCTCTCCTATGAGTTTTAAATATTAGGATCTCCAGTTGTTTGTTGTCGCTGGTGTAAGATTGGAGTCCAGTCTCATTCTTTTTATTTATTTTTTCATTCTTTTTAAAATGTGGCTGCCCAGTGTTCGCGGCATCATTGATCGAAGAGGCTACCCTTCCCCTATTATGAATTTTCGGCTCCTTAGCTGAAAAATTACCTGGCCATATGCGCAGAGCGTTGATTTCTGGTCTCTCCGTGCTGTTCCATTGCTCTCTGTGTCTGTGTTCATGCGCAAACCATACTGTTTTGATTATTGCAGCTTTAAAATGCAGTTTGAAAGTAGGAAGTGTGATGCCTCTGTCTTCTGAGGTCTCATACAAATTTCAGGATTGCTTTTTCTATTTCTGTGAAAAGTGCCATGGGGATTTTGATAGATTGCATCGACAATGTAGGTCACTTTGGGTAGTATGGCTATTTTAGCAATATTTATTCTTCCAGTCCATGAACACAGAGTATCTTTGCATTTATTTGTGTTCT